GCTCGTGCAAACATCCCACCCTCCCACCCGCAACTTGGTCGCAAGACCTCTTAAAACAAGACCGTGACGGCAGGTACCACATGGCTCTTGACCACGACACCGACGCCGACGACGACAGCGACAACGACGACGACGACGCCGCCGACACCGACTACGACGACACCGACGACGTCTCCAACGACTTCGACGACGACAACGACGACGACGACACCGACGACGACGACGACGCCGACGCCGACGACGACGACGAGGGAGGAGGGAGGACGACGACGGCGACAACGACGACAACGACGACAACGACGAGGGAGGAGGGTGGACGGCGACGACGCGAACGACGAAGAAGGAGGAAGGACGGCGACGCCGACGACGACAACGACGAGGGAGGAGGGAGGACGACGACGACGACGACAACGACGACGACGACGACGACGACGAAATAGGAGGGACGACGACGAGACGCCGACGACGGACGACGACGACGACGACGACGACGACTAGGGAGGAGGAGGAGGAAGGACGACCACGGCGACAACGACGACGGAAACGACCACGACGCCAACGAGGACGACGACGACGAACACGAGGAAAGACACAAGACGACGTAGGCGACGACGACGACGACGCGGGAGGAGGGAGGACGGCGACGACGACGACGACGACAACGACGACGACGCCGCAAGAGCGCGCGAGCACTCTTTTGTTGAAAATCCGTGTTGCGAAACCTTGGGTTTTTGTAATTTTTTCGGACGCGCGATTTTGACATCCTTCCGAAACCGATGGGTTTTGAAAGATGTCGTCATACGCGCGCGACGACGCGCGCGTCTGCACTTCGTCCCATGGTTTGCAGAGGATTCTCGCGACGGCACACGCGCAAGGGCGTTCGACAGATTTCGACATGCGCGCGCGCGAAGCCCGTTTAAGAGCATTTTGTGAAAATCTTGAACAACCGATGGTTTCTTAAGATTTCGCAAGAGCTCGCGCGGAAGCTTTTTTAGCAAATCAGTGTTGCGAAACCATGTGTTTTGGGCTGTTTTTTGGGGAAGCTCGATTGCGAAATCCTTCCGAAACCAAAGGTTTTTGAATGATTTCGGCATGCGCGCGCGACGACGCGCGCGTGTGCACTTCGCCCAATTTGTTGCAGGGGATTCGCGACACACATGGTTTGTTAGAACAACAAATGTCACCGCATAGTGTTTTTTGCCCAAGGGAACCTCAGGGGGGATAGCGGCCCCCCTGGGATAGTGTAAATTCATAGTTAAGATGGGCATGTGGTCATAATCATACATGATTTACAACCCGAAAGGGGGATTGATAACGCCGGGGGGGGGTAAGGTCTATTCTGTTTTTAGAAAGGAGAATCTACGTGGTGCAACCCAATCTTGACCGTCTTGAAGCTGTCCTCTCCACTGCTCGTGCAAACATCCCGCCCTCCCACCCGCAACTTGGTCGCAAGACATCTTCAGACAAGACCGTGACGGTAGGTACTGCATGGCACTTGGCCACGACACCGATGCCGACGACGACAGCGACATCGACGACGACGGCGCCGCCGACAGCGACTGCGACGACACCGACGACGTCTCCAATGTTTTCGACGACGACAACGACGACGACGACACCGACGACGACGACAACGACGCCGACGACGACGACGAAGACGACGACGACGTCGCCAACGGAGACGACGACGAGGGAGGAGAAAAAACGACGACGGCGACAACGACGACAACGACGATGGAGGAGGGAAGACGGCGACGACGCCAACGACGAAGAAGGAGGAAGGACGGCGACGCCGACGACGACAACGACGAGGGAGGAGGGAAGACGACGACGATGACAACGACGACGAAGACGACGACGACGGCGACGAAATAGGAGGGACGACGACGAGACGCCGACGACGGACGACGACGACGAGGGAGGAGGATAACGACGAGGGAGGAGTGAAGACCACGACGACGACGACGACGACGACGACGGCGACGAAATAGGAGGGACAACGACGAGACGCCGACGAAGACAACGAGGGAGGAAGGACGACCACGGCGACAACGAGGACGGAAACGACGACGACGCCAAGACGACGACAACGACGACGAGGAAAGACAGAAGACGACGACAGCGACGACGACGACGACGACGACGAGGGAGGAGGGAGGACGACGACGACGACGCAAGAGCGCGCGCGCACAATTTTGTTGAAAACCCGTGTTGCGAAACCTGGTGTTTTTGTAGGTTTTTTGGAAGCACGATTTCGAATTCCTTCCGAAACCGACAGTTTTTGAAGGATTTCGGCATACGCCCGCGACGACGCGCGCGTCTGCACTTCGTCCCGTTTTTTGCAAAAGGATTCCCGCGACGGCACACGCGCAAGGGCGTTCGACAGATTTCGACATGCGCGCGCGCGAAGCCCGTTTGGTAGCATTTTGTGAAAATCTAGGAAAACCCATGGTTTTCTTAAGATTTCGCAAGAGCTCGCGCGGAAGTTTTTTTCAGCACATCAGTGTTTCGAAACCATGTGCTTTTATATGTTTTTTGGAAATTCAATTCTGAAATCTCTCTGGAACCGAAGGTTTTGGAAGGATTTCGGCATGCGCGCGCCACGACGCGCGCGTGCGCACTTCGTCCCATTTCTTGCAAGGGATTCGTGGAAAAGTGCTATGTTGGAGCACAAAATGTGTCCGCATAGTGTTTTTTTACAAGGGAACCGCAGGGGGGGGGAACCCGGCTTGGCTGGGATGGTATGAATTCATGTTTAGGATGGACATGTGGTCATAATCGTATGTAATTTACAGCACGCGCGGGGTAACCGATAAGTCCGGGGGGGGTAGGATCTATTAGTCTTTTAGAAAGGAGAATCTATGTGGTGAAAGCTATGATGTGCTATCCATGTTGAGCAGAATATAGTATGTATATGTATATGTATATATGTGTATGGTCAATATGTGTGGTGCGACAGCAAGCAAAGAAAGACAACGCAACGCAAAGCGACGCCAAGCATTGCTAAGCAACCCAGAGCAACGCAAAACAATATAGGACGTGCAGTACGGCGGCGACGGGGCGTCGACGGCGACTAGCCGCCAGATCGACAGACAGGCCCAGACAACGGGCGGCGACGAAGCGGCGGCGGGGCGACGACGACCACATAGCCGCCGTACCAACACGCAGGCCCAGACGACTGGCGGCGAACCCCTCCGTGCAAACACTGCTTGTGGCACATATGTGAGGGTCCAAATGCCAGAAAATTTGCGAAAACGACGGGGTGAAATTGCTCTGGCGAACAGACCAACCCATTCCACGCGCGTGGGAACTCCGCTGATCCACCGCGTGAGTTCCATAAAGCCGAACCTGAGCTTCAGCTCTGCCTGGGAAAGGGGGGCCGCGGGGCTCTGCTGGGGAAGAAGGGGTCCGGGGGGGGGAGGGGGGGCGCCTGTTCTCTCTCGGTTTTCTGGGCGGGTCTGGGACACATAAAAATCTGCCAAAAATCCGACCCCTGGACCCAAAAATCCAAGATGGCCGCCACATCTTTCCCACACGGTTGAAGGCGCACCCAAGATGGCCCAGGATGCCCTTTCAACAGAAACCGAAGAGGCCCAAATCATTGATTTCTACATGCTTTGAAAGATTTGGGCGCTTCATTCTTTTCGGCATTCCGACGGCCCCAGAGGCCCCCAAGATCGCCCCGAAGGCTTCCAAAATTGCCCTTTGACGGCCCCGGGGGCTCCCAAGACGGCCTCAAAGGGTCCAAAGACGGCCCCATAGGCCCCAAAAACGGGCCTCCAAAACGGCCCTGAAGCGCCCACAGAGCGCACCCAGACGGCACACCGAAGCGCCCAATATGACTTCCGACGGCGCCCGACGGGCCAGGAACGCCCTAAGACAGCCAAAACAACTTCCAAGAAAACATCAAGAAGCTCAAAGACCCTCTCAAGAGGCCTCCTCCTACGACGGCCCCAAGAGGGCCCCAAAACGGCCCCAAGAGGGCCCAACAGGGCCCCAAAACGGCTCCAAAACTGCAGGGAAGCAGAATGAGGGATAATTTGATGAACGGTTCATAGCTCTAGCGCAACGCGCTCCAGCGCAACGCGCGCAACGTGCATTCCAAGCAAATGAAAGTGCCGATGACGACGAAATCCTTCTGTGAACGAGACCCAGATTCATTTGAAAATTCACGATATAGGCCCCCTCCTAGACAAAGACGGAAAGCAAGCAACCGAGACAGGGCGAGCCAACCTGGCAGACGAATGTCGAAACATCTCGATAATGACGCCGTTCCAAATGAACAGAACCTTCGATGATGACGACCGCTATGAACGGGAACCCCTTGGTGCAAGATCGCGATAGCGCCGCCTTTCTAGGCACGCACGACAAGCTTTAACAAGAGACAAACCGAGCCGATTTGGGGAGCAAATTTGAATCATTTCTGGAGATTTCCGCTTCTCAGACATACAGAACCACCGATGACGACGACTCCCTGCGATTGGGAAACCATAGGGGAACGTGTTGCGTTTGTGCCGGCCTTCTAAACAAGGCGGGAAACCTGAGACGGTTCGCTGGGCCTGTGGGCGGCTCGCGACGCGCACATCGCGGGCCGAGGAAGGGGTCTTGTAAGGAAGCCGGAGATCCCCTACCAAGTGCGAAAACATGTACGTCAAACGATGTGCTTTCACGTGGACTAACACGGTGCGGAAAAGGGTCTCACACGGGCGCGGAAATAGGGATCCTTTAACTTTTTCGTGCCCCCGAGCAAAACGGCCGCGGGAAAGCGACAAGATTGGACAGGACAAAGGAGACGGGAGCTATTAGCAGGCTGCTGTTAGTGGAAGGACGGGAAGGAGGAGTGAGGAGGAGGGAGGAGAAGGAAACGCGCGGAGCTGCGAACTCAAAACGAGGACCCAACACACGAGACCCAGATCTCAAGGTCCCTCTCTCTCTCCTCCTGGACCCTCCTCCTCTTCCTCTTCCTCCTCCTCCTCCTCCTCCTCCTCCTCCTCCCGTGCCTCTGGATCCGCCGGCCCAATGCCGCTCGATTCACAGGATCCGGGAACCGCGGGCACCTCCCAGGCCCGGTGCGTGGACCTCCCCGGGCAGGGCGTGGAGCGCGGCTCCGCCTCGGTGGACCAGGCGCCGCCACGCTGCGGCTGCTTCGAGGCCGCTCGGAAGGAGCCCGGGTTCAGCAGGAACCTGGCCGGGCCAAGACCCAGATCCCTGACGGCATGACTTGTTCAATGCGGGCGTTTTTCCTCGATTTGGGCCTCCAGGACCTGTTCTCTGAGGAGAACGATCGTGTGTGGAGAAAGGTGTTGGGAGGGTGACGGGGCTCTGAGCAACATCATTCGGGATGCCACGAACGATACCCTCGGCCGACTGCGATTAAGGATGCCCTCATTTATCCCGCTCCCCTCTTCCCCACCCGACAAATATCTTCCTGACGATCGGGCGCCGCCACCAACTGATCCAGACGCCGATCCTGGGCGCAGGGGAAGAGTCCGGACCTCCTGGGCCGCGCACCGAAGACATGCTGTCGGAGGGTGTCTGGTGACGGAAGGAGTGGCCCCAGCGGACACCCGCTGCACCCATCTCGGCCAGGCCCCCGCCGGGCCCCCGATCCGTGCCCGGGCCCCCCTCTTAGGCTCGGCCCTGGCCGATCCTGGGCACAGGGTGGGCCTGGACAGGAGCGGGGCGGGTGCACGGCCCTGGCCCTGGAGGGACAGAAAGGTGCACCGATAGCGCAGACCAGGACTGCGATCAGGACTTCATGGAGAGCCCATCACATCTGGGAAGGATCCAAAGCCCGAGAGGAGTTGATCGTCCCACAGTTGTGTTTTGACCAACCGAAATATAATCGTCGGTGACTCCCCCTCCTCTGGCGATCGAGCAGCAAGGGCTCCCTTGGACGGGTAGCGGTAGTATCGTTGTCCCTTCCTCCACAATGCCCAACAACAAATGTTGTCCCAAGCAGCGGCGGCTCTTGGGCAGGCGGCCTTCCGCCTCAGATGGACACAGGCCGCGGCGGCGCGGATAGCGAGTCCTGTCCAAAATGGACAGGAGCTGCTGTTGGGCATTGTACCCAATCTTTCCGTACCCATTTCTCGGGCGTTGGCAGAACTGGGTTTAGTGGAACCTGGTTTAGTGAGTTGCACCGGGGGGCGACCCCCCCTGCCCCGTTCCGCTAACCGGAACTGCCGTCACCCGAAAAGCACCAGTTACGGCAAACCTGGCTTAGGGAATCCGGCCAATTGAGGGGCCCCAGGGCCCTACCGCTAACCGGGTCCCTTTACCCGGGGTCCTGGCTATACCCGAATTTCGTTCGTGCCGAATGACGCGGCGCCCAAGTCCAGCGCCCGTGCTCCGAGCCGGGAGGCTACCATCTCCTCATTGCCAAGCCTGCGCAGGGGCCCCTGCTGAGAGCCAACGCCAGGACCAGCAGAGGGGGCCGAGAAAGCACGCGTCCCGCCCCGGCCCCGCCCGCTCGAGCGTCGCCCGGCCGGCAGGTCGCGGGGGGAACGAGCGAACGAATGCCATTCTCACTACCTACCAGACCACCCCAACCCAACCCGAAGACCCGAATTTCGGGTTGGGGGGGTACGGGCTTCATATGTGTTTTTCCTATGTTCCCCGACCCCCCCCACTGGAAATGGAGGGCAAATCGGGACCTTCGGGTTGGGTTGGGGTGGTTTGGTGGGCGGTGACATTCCCTGAGATCATGGCGTCTCAACTATTTTCGTGCTGGGCGTGTTCGCCTCTTGTCGGGCCCCGGGGCCCTTACAGAGCGACGCGGCTCGAAACATGACGCAGAAGGACGGGGTCTAGGGCTCTGGGCATAATTTTGACGATGCTGCAATTCTTCCGCTGCGTCGAATCACAAAGTTACAACGAGAACTGCCCCAACGGGTGTATCATTTCTCATCAGGTGGCTTTGGAGCCGTGTGTCCGGTCAAGGGGGGATCACGAAGGCCACACTCGTGGGGAGGCGGGGGAGGTGCGCAGAGTCGCAGAGGGATCTGAAATCTTCGAGGGCTCCAGTGAGCTGCGTCCAGCCGTGATGTCGAGGAGGGCCCCCCGAAGGCTACACGTGTGGATAGGGGGGGAGGTCCGCAGATAGGGCGTGGACTGACACAGCTCAGCGCAAACCCGGCTCAGCCAGTTTAGGAAACATGCGCTCCAATTTTTGTCGGAGCTTCCCCACAGTCCGGCTCAGCCAATAGGTACTGCCACCTCCAGGGCCGCGAGCGGCTCCCTCACCCCGGCTCCGCCAAACAGTCTGGCTCTGCAGGATCCGGCGCTCTGGCCGAGCCCCGCTTGCACAGGATCCCCCTGCATGCCTGCCAGCTGGGCAGAGGACTCGGAAATGTCGAGGTCCTGGCCGCTCCCCATAGTGCGTCCCAGGGGTCCCCGTGGAGGTCGGAGCCTCCAGGGCTCTGCGGAACCGTCCACAGGGCCCATGAGCAGGCCCAGGGCGCCCACCCACCCCGACCCTCCAACCCATAGGAGAGTTCCCCGCCGCAGGCATTACTATGCGTTTGCTGATCCTGTCGCTCGCGCGCGTGCCGCCCGTAGATCACGGGCCAAAAGGTGTAGCACGATCGCGAAGCAGATCCGCAACCCCACTCGAAAAGGGTGAAGGCCGATGCTGCACTACAGTCGGACTCGATTGGACAGGACACGCGAGAGGACACAAGACCCTTCCGAGGGCCACATCGCCATAGGAGTGTAAGAAGGCACGTGTCGCGAGGCACAAGACACAAGGGTACCCTTGAGCTGGCAGGGTCGACCTATAATCCATGCCGACTGTATGCAGCCCCGTATCTCCCCCCAACCTACACGAGGGGAGTTTGCGCAGGAGGACTCGGACCTGGGCAGCGGCACCGAAGGCTCGACCTCTCGGAGCCGGCCCCTGCGAACCACCACCGCCGCCCGGCAGGGGACGGCCCTGAGCCCTGGGATGGTGCACGAGCCCCTCCTGACCTCGACCCAGGAGGCTCTTCAAACACCACCGCGGGACCCAGAATGTTGAGACGAAGCCAGGACGAGGACAACACTTCGCCATTCCGGCGGCGGACCTGGAGGATGTGGCGGGCGCCACGGCCTTCCTCCGAGCGCCCCACGGGACGCGCCGAGACTCTGCGGCGGAGTTGCTTGATCCTCGCCCTGGCCCTGTCCGCAGTGGCCCTGCCCCGGCTGGTGTCTGGTGTGCAGCTGCCTTCTCCGTGGACGCCTGGCCAGCGCCCTCGCCCAGGCACGGCGCCGCGCCGACCCGCCCGCCGCCGCCGCCAGAGGTCCGCGGCACCGCCTCGCGCCCCTGGCACGGCGCCCCGATCATCGCGGCTCTGCGCCTGCTCGGGCGCTACAGGAAGGGAGCGCCCCGCCAGGAGCCCGGGCCTCGAGAGCAGACGGCTGCGCTTTGATGCTCCGCTGCCTTTTGCGGGCATCTGGCTTCCCCTGGAGACTCTGGCCGGAGCGCTCCCCGGGCCCAGGCGTAAGCCCCTCCGACCGCCCAGACGTGCCTCGAAATTCGGCAGGGGTCCGGGTCCTCCCTTCAAGGTCGATGCCCGAACCAGGGCATGTCTGGCAATCTCTACCGGCCAGGATTGGGAGGCGGAACCGGCGGTGGCCACAAGGGCGCCCAACGAGGCCACGAAATTGGGAAACGAAACAGACCACGGGCTTCCTGCCCTTGGGAGCACGAGGGTTGGCCAGAAAGGCATGCCCGGCGACGAAGACAACAGGGCCGAGCAAGACCTCATTGGCGCCACGTCTGTCCAGATGGACATCACGCTCACTCACCGACGAGGAGGGGAGGCCGCCGTCGTCGTCGTCGTCGTCGTCGTCGTCGTCGTCGTCGTCGCCGTCAGCGTTGTCGTCAGCGACAGCACCGAATTGTCCAGTGTGGCCTGCAAAGACATGGCTCACCGGCAGGGGTTCGCAGTTCAGCGCAGAGGAGCAACAGCCGAAGAGGTCGAGTGTGGAATCCGTGCAGAGATCCGCAGTCGCCTTGTCTGGGCGGGCGTTTTCTCAGTTCCCGACCGCAATGGGTAACCAAAAAAAGACCCCAAACCCTTTGGGAGGGGCCCTAAGTTAGGAGGGCCAAAAACATTAGGGATAGTGGGTCTTTTCTGCAGGAAGTATGGCACCACACCACCCAGATGTGTTATCCCAACTGCCAAGACGGGGACCTCACTGAGGCTACGTCTTCAGTGTGTCATTAGGGTTAGCGGTTCTTCTCTTCTCGATGACGCAAGGCACGGGGGACGGGATCCTGTGGCCCCCCCGCACGCACCCTGAAGCAATGCCCCCCTGGACCCGAACTATACAAATGCACCTCACAATCACGGATAAGAGTCGCAGGTGGGTCATGACCGAGTCGCCGGTGGGTCGAAGGCTGGGTCACAGGTTGATTACGATGGGTCGCGGCTGGGTTCTGGGTGGGTCATGGGTGGTCGCGCGTGGGTCGTGGCTGGGTCGCGGGGTGGGTCGCGGGTGGGTCGCGGGCGGTTCGCGCGCTGGGTCGCGGGGTGAGTAGTCGCGGGCGGGTCGCGGCCGGGTCGCAGGGTGGGTCGCGGGTGGGCCGTGGGTGGGTCGCGGGTTGGTCGCGGCGTGGGTCGCGGGTGAGTCGCGGGTGGGTCGCGAGCTGGGTCGCGGGCGGGACGACGACAAAAACAAACAGCAAACAACAAACAACAAACAACAACATAGACAACAAACAACAAACAACATGCACCAAGCACAACAACACCAGCAGCAACAACAACACCAACAACAACCACAACGACAACAACAACAACAACAGCAACAACAACTACTGATACTACAGCACAACAAAAACACCAACACATCCACCACCAACAACAACAGCAGCAACACCATCAACAGTATCACCAACAACAACACTCATGATAATACTGATCGTTCTTATCTGCTCGCGTGCCCTTCGGCACGCATGTCCCAAGCACTCGGTACCCGCCCTCTTCGTCTTCGATCGTGCCCCTTTGGGGGGAGATCTTTTTTACCTGCCACGTGTATTTCGTGCAGTCCCGAGGGCAGGGAAAGAGAGGACGGATGGAAGGAAGGGACAAGGGGGAGGGAGGAGGATGAGCACGAGAGAGATTAGCAGGAGGAAAGTTAGGAGCAGAAAACGCGCGGCAGGACCAGACGGGCAGATCGGGTGGGTAGACCCTAACAAGCGGGTCGGGAAGGCGGGCCCAGGCGGCCAGGTCGAGCAGGCGGGTTGCTGAAGCGTGCGTCCTGCATAAACCGCCAGGAAGTCTCGAGAGACAGCGCGATTCCCAAATAAATCGTGAACAAATCCAGAGCGAGAGAGTGATTTCTGATTGTCGAGGGCGCGGAATCTGAATAGATTGACAGGAAGTCCAACGCGAGAGCGCGACTTCTGCATACATTGTGAAGACGTCCCGCAAGAGAACGCGAATTGGGAATATATTGTGAGGACGTATAACGCGGGAGCCGTTGTTGCTGTTGTTGTAGTTGTAGACCGGGGGCCAGGGGACCAGCCTGTTGACACCACGCTTTCCCTTGGGTGCGAGCCCCAGGAGAAACACTTGAACTGAACAACGCAATGGTCACCAGAGGGGATCAACAACAGATCTTGTTCAGAAAGAGGAATTCAATAACAACAACAGCAGTAGCAACAACACCAGCATCACCAACACCACCAACAACAACAATGACAACACCAATTCCAACAACAAAATTCCAAACCGCGGAAGCCCACTTCAGTCACGCACCCAGGGACAGTGAATAGGGTTGTGGATGCCATGACAATGGACAAACTCACAGTCCTGTCATCGAATTGAAAAGGTGTTTAAACTGTCGGAAAACGTAGGGGACATGTGAAACATATATATATATATATATATGAACATGTTACAACACAATGTTAACACATGTCCTAGACATCTGGAAACTATTTGGCTACATGCTTCCTCTCCATGGATCATCCTCCACTATAATAGGGGAATGAAACATTACAAAAACATGAACAACTCTGAATTCCGCGCGGCTTTCTCGGGTCCAACGCCGATCCGGGAAATCCGCGCGCACCTCCGTTTTTTGTTGTTCATGCAGTTTTGCGTTCCCATATTCACTGTCCCTGGGTGCGTGACTGAAGTAGGCTTCCGAGGTTCGGAATTTTGTTGGTGGACTTGCTGTTGTCTTTGAATGTGACCTACTAAACAATAACTATTGTTGGACCCCTTACAAGCGCCCTGGCGCTGTCGCCGAGGCGCCGGCTGCATTTGCATTGAAAATGAAGCTCGCGCTCGAGCGGTTTGGGGGACCGCCAAAACGGGCCCCCCAACAACAACAACGCTACCGCTCGAGACATCCCCTTTTTTTACTCAAGGCTGGTGTTCTTGCTCGCCGCCGAAAGCCGTCGTCCTGACAAAACCAGCGCTCCCGCTCGAGACTTCCTCCCATTCGAAGCTCCCGGCGGCGCCCCCAGCAAAAACAAAGCTCCCGCTCGATGCTTGCTCATTTCTTACTCAAGGCGGTGTTCCTCCTCGCCGCCGAAAGCCGTCTCCCCGACAAAACCAGCGCTCCCGCCCGAGAAGTCCTTCGGTTTTACGCTGGACTGGCGCCCTACTCTCTTTTGAATTGGCGCCGCTTCCAACAAGAACAACGCTCCCGCTCGAGGCTTCCTCCCTTTTTCCTGAAGACGGTGCTGTTCCTCGCCGCCGACAGCCCCCGTCCCGACAAAACCACGGTTCCCGCTCGATGATTGCTCTTTTTTTGCTCAAGGCGGTGTACCTCCTCGCCGCTGGAAACCGCCGCCCCGACAAAACCAGCGTTCCCGCCCGAGACCTTCTTCGGTTTTCCCACAGCCACCAGGTTTTACGTTGGGCTGGCGGCCTGCTCTCTTTTGAATCGGCGCCGCTCCCAGCAAGAACTTCGCTCCCGCTCGAGATTCCCTCTCCTTGTCCTCGGGAAGATACTGGTCCTCGCCGCCGACAGCCCCCGTCCCGACAAAACCACGGCTCCCGCTCGATGCTTCCTCCTTCCTCACTCAAGGCGGTGTTCCTCCTCGCCGCCGAAAACCGCCGCCCCGACAAAACCAGCGCCCCCGCCCGAAACAATTGTTGTTTTGTTTTGCGCTGGACTGGCGCCCCACTCTCTTCAGCACTGGCGCCGCTTTCGGCAACAGCAGCGGCCCTGCTCGAGACTTCCTCCCTCTCTGTTCTGGGCCAGGTCCTTGCCTCACCGCCGACGGCCCCCATCCCCACCAAGGCAATCATGTCGTTCGAGACTTCGTTGTGCTTGACCATTCGCTGGGGTTCCACTGGCGGTCTCGCATCGCCGCAGCAAGGCGCGGGCATATGATTTCGAGGCGGGATATGCTGAAATTCCTCGGAGGAGGTGCTTGCAAGACCTCATTGGGCGGGAGATCTGGGAATGGGAATCACGGACCCCGCTATGAAACTAGAGTCCCCGATGATGTGGATGGTTGTCATGATGGTCGCATGCTTCGTGTGGAAACATCGCGCATGAGGGTAAAATGATTGTTGTTGATTTTTTTGTTCGAGTGGCCGGCCGGGATAACGTCACCACACAAAAAAATATCACGTTTAGCCGCGAGGGCCGGTTCCTATCGAGACTATTTCTGCTTCACGCTTGGGCGCTTGTGCGCTTGGAGCGGAAAGGCCAGAACCACCATCGCAACGCGAAGGCCGGTTGCACTTGAAAGCCGTTTTGCTCACTGGGAAGCCGTTTCTGAAAATGCTTGCTGTTGCTGCTGCCCCCCTAGTGAATGAGCGCTCGCCCCCCTCGCTCCGAAGTAGGAGGAGGAGGAGGATGAGGAGGAGGAGGAGGGAGGAGGAGGAGGAGGAGGAGGAGGAGGAGGAGGAGGAGGGGGAGAGGGAGGAGGAGGGGGAGGGGGAGGAGAAGGAGGAGGAGGAGGAGGAGGAGGAGGAGGAGCAGGAGGAGGACTTGGGCCCGGCGACGGGCCGCTCTCCGGCGGCGCTCCCTCTCCGGCGCCGCCCCTGGCCGCTCCGAGGGCTCCGCGCGGACCTCTCTGGGGGCGCGCAAACATGGATTAGCGTTCGGTCGGGCATGTCTCCCTTCAGGGGGATTTGGACGAATGATAAAGATTACTCAAACATTATCTTCTAACAAGAAAAGATTCAACAGATCGTCCCCAGGCTACTTTGTGACTCTTTTTGGATACTCCTCCTGTAGAGGACCACGCCCGACTTCATATTAGCGATCCATTGATTTGGCGCGCGGTCGCCACATCCATTCATCGGGGGAGGTACCCTCCCCAAAATGCGGCCAGTGCCGCCTCGTTCGGCGGCGGAAAGCCGCGATTTCCCATGGAAGCGGAACCCGTCGCTAATCCACGCGCCCTTGATCCATGTTTGCGATCGCCTGAATGTGGTTGCTTCTTCTTCCATACTCCCCCGATCTTCCCTCTCCCCGCGGCCCCCAGGCGAAGGGGCGGTGTTGCATGCGGGCCGCAGGTGATTCCCCGGTCGGCCCCCGCCCACAACCCAGCGGCCCCAGCGGGGCTGTGGTCGGGCTCCGTCCTCGAGGCGAGCGACACAGGTGCAGCACTTTTTCACGGCAGCCTCGTCGTCAAGATCTGCGCTGGACTCCCCTCCCTGGCCAGGGAGCGGCGCCGGAGGCGCTGCCAGGGGGGGCCAGCGCCGATCCAAGAAATTTGCGCGGACCGACGACTGTTTATGAGTACAGTGGAGGCCTGTCCAGAAGAAATCTTCCACAAGAAACCCCAAGCAGACCCCAGGACGTCCACTGAGTTTTTGGTGTGGGGACGTCACGCCTCCCATGGCAAAACCATGGAAACCAAAGAAACCCAAGGCACACTGGAGGCGAACAGGGAATTTCTTGGCAAGGATCTCCACAATAGGGCCGAGGCCTCGAAGGCGCCTCCTGCCCTCCTGGGGGGGGCTCTGGAGGCCACCTCCTCCAACCTCCGCCTCCGAGGAGGAGGAGGAGGGGGAGGAAAAAGTGGAGGAGGACGAGGAGGAAAGGAGGGAGGAAGGAGAGGAGGAGGAGAAGGAGGAGGAGGAGGAGGAGGAGAACGTGGAGGAGGCGGAGGAGGAGGAGGAGGAGGACGACCGAGGAGAGGAGGTGAGGGAGGAGGGGGAAGAGGAGAGGAGAGGATGAGGATGGAGGAGGAGGGGTAAGGAGAGGAGACGGAGGAGGCAGTAAGGAGAGGAGGAGAACGTGGAGGAGGCGGAGGAGGAAGGAGGAGGAGGAGGAGGACGACGAGGAGGAGGTGGAGGAGGAGGAGGAAGAGGAAGGAGGAGGAAGGGGAGGAGGAGAGGAGGAGGAGGAGGAGGAGGAGGAAAAGGCGGAGGAGGAGGAGGAGAGAGGAGGAGGCAGGAGGAGAGGAGGAGGAGGTAATTGGAGGAGGGAGAGGAGGAGGAGGAGGAGGAGAAGGGAAGGAGGGAGGAGGAGGAGGAGGAGGAGGAGGAGGAGGAGGAGGGAGAAGGAGGATGCCGAGCAGGAGGAGAGGAAAGGGGAGAGGGAGAGGAAAAAAGGGGAGGAGGAGGAAACAAAAAAAGAGAAAAAAAAAAAAAATAAAAAGGGCAAAAAAAAGAAAGGCAAAAAGGTAAGATGAGGGGCCGCTTCTTTTCTCATGGTGATCCCATCTTTCCCTTGACCCTGGCGGCCCTCGCTGCCCCCCTGGCGAAGCACCCGGGGCGGCGGCCGTGGACGCCGACGACATGGCAAGCGGCGAGGACAGCACCGGCGCCTGCCGCTCCCCCCTCTGGGGCAGTGCGCCCTCTTTCATTATTTCTCGCATGCTTCCTTCTTCTCCTCCTCCTCCTTCTCCTCCTCCTCCTCCTCCTCCTCGTTCTCCTCTTCCTCCTCCTCCTCCACCTCATCCTTCTCCGCTCCTCCTCCTCCTCCTCCTCCTCCTCCTCCTCGTTCTTGTCTTGGTCGTCCAATATTGCCCTGCTTCCCGCGCCGTCCTCACGTGTGCTGCCGATGTGCCCACAGCGCACAGGTGCAGTGCCCACTGGGAGCCGAGCGCCAGGGCCCCCGGCGTGCAGCCTGGGCCTGGGCGGTGCATCTCACCACGCGCCGGTGGTTGATGTGCTCATGCTGCCTCCCACTGTTCCCCCCGCCCCCCCCCCCGCCTCCTCCCAAACTTACTGGCTCACTGACAAGCCATACACCAGGCGGTGCGTGGGCATGAGCGCCAGCTAATACAATACGTATAGCTGCACGTTGAGAAGAGGACCACCTTGGTTCCAGAAGAAGCCGCGGTCTTCGAGCCGCTCCTGACACCCTGACAGCTAGGTCGTTGGACGTATTCGTCGACGCCAGGAATCGAGGAGCAAACACTGATATTAACATCAAAAGCTCGGAGGTCCGCGCGGATTTCTGGGATCGGCGCTGGTACACCCTCCCTGGGCGCGGAGCGCGCCAGGGGCGACGCTGGAGGGGCGCTTCGGCGCCGATCCGAAGAATTTCACGCGGACCGCTGAGTGTTTCTGTTTTTTGATTGTTGTTCTCCTGAGGAGAAGGGGGAGGAGAAGGAGGAGGAGAAGGAGGAGGAGGAGGAGGAAGAGGAGGAGGAGGAGGAGGAAGGGGAGAAGGAGGAAGGAGGAATGGAGGAGGAAGGAAGAGGAGAGGAGGAGACGAGGAGGAGGAGGAGGAGGAGGAAGATGGGGGGGGAGAAGGAGGAGGAAGAGGAGACGACGAGGAGGACCAGGAGGAGGAGGTGGAGGAGGAGGAGGAGGCGGGGGGGGGAGGAGGAGGAGGAGCAGGAGGAGGAGGAGGAGGCGGGCGGGGGGGGGGGTGTAGGGAGGAGGAGAAGGAAGGAGGAGGAGGAGGAGGAAGAGGGGAGGAGGAGGAGGAGGAGGTTGATGACGTTTCTTGCAACTCGAACGACATGGCCGGGAACTCCAAGGACAATTTCCTGCTGATGGGCTTGCGGCTCGTTTCTTGCAACTCGAACGACATGGCCGGGAACTCCAAGGACAATTTCCTGCTGATGGGCTTGCGGCTCCGGGCGGCTGGGCCTGAGCACGCCTGTCTCTACGCGGCGCGCAAGATGGATCGGGAAGATGGCCCTCTCCCCTCTCGCGGGCCCCCTTTCCCCTCATCTTGCTCCTCCTCCCGTCGCGCGCTGTCCCTCCTCCCCCCTTCCTCCTTCCCTCCTCCCATCCTCCTCCTCCTCCTCCTCCTCCTCCTACTTCCTCCTCTTCCTCCTCATCTCTCCTCTCCTCCTCCTCCTCCTCCTCCATCCACCCCCTCTCCTCCTCCTCCTCCTCCTCCTCCTCCACCCTACCTCCTCTCCCTCTCCTCCTCCTCCTCCCTCCTCCTCCTCTCCCTCCTCCTCCTCCTCCTCCCTCATTTCCCTCCTACTCCTCCTCCCCATCCTCCTCCTCCTCCTCCTCCTCCTCTCCTCCTCTCCTCCTCCTCCTCCTTCTCTCTCCCTCCTCCCTCCTCTCCTCCTCTCCTCCTCCTCCTCCTCCTCCTTCCTCCTTCTCCTCCTCCCTCCTCCTACTCCTCCCTCCTCCTCCCTCCTCCTCCCTCCCTCCCTTCCCCTCCTCCCCCTCCTCCCCCTCATTCCTCCTCTCCTCCTCACCTCCTCCTTCCTCCAACTCTCTTCCTCCTCTTCCTCCTCCTCCTCCTCCTCCTCCTCTCCTCCTCCTCCTCCTCCTCCTCCTCCTTCTCCTCCTCATCCTTCTCCTCCTCGTCCTCCCCCACGACTGGACGCGGCTGAAGGGACGAGCCCGTCAGCTGTCAGGAGGCAGCCCCTGGGGGGTCGCCGTCAGACCGATGGAAGGAAGGAGCTATGAGCCCGACGAGGGGGCCAGCGCGCTGGATGGAGCCCAGAATGAATTCGGGCGACCCATAAGGGGGTCCAACTGAAAGGGGGTGGGTTAATAGATTTGGGGCAATTGTATTGCAAGTGTATTGCACCGGATAGTTGTACGGTGAGAGCATTGAATGAAGAACCATTGGATAAGGAAGCCAGGGCCTGAAGCCGGTGGGATTCCAATCGTGGAGTGACTATTGATATTACCACCGCCCACACCCGATAAAGAATCCTCCAGGGTCTGACGCCTCCTGGGCACATTCCTTAACCAACGCCCCACCGTATGGCATTGTATTGCAATTATGTTTTACACGCAAAAATTCAGCAATATATCTGCGCCCTGGACTGCGTACTGCACGCAAAAATGAGCAACAATTCAGCAATACATTGCAATTCACAATGTATTGCAACCCCACAAATCTATTTGGCAAAATCTATCACACCACCCCCTGGTCGCTGGACCCCCTGTTGGGTCGACCCGGATGAAGCGGGGACGAAGCAGGATGGAGCGAGATGAAGCCAGACTAGGCCAGCTCCCCACCAGGAGTATACCAGCGCCGGGTCTGCAGTCAGCCTCCTGCAGGAGCTGCATCCTGCAGAAGACCGACCCCGAGCACCGGCCCGGGGAACCGGGTCTGGGCGGACTCTGCAGCGGGGGGGGTCCTTCACGAGAAGGTCTTGGCAGCTTCTCCGGGAGGGGATACCGGCCACGCAGCGGTGGCCCGCCGGAAGGCCCGGGAAAGGCGGCGCGGGAGGGCCTCTGCAAGGCGGCCTGCCTTCCCGGGGAGGGCTGCCCTGCCTTGCCCGAAAGAGGCCCCCCACACCCGGGTGGCGCGCCGCGGACTCCGGCCGGGGGCAGCAGGGACACAGGCGGGAGGAGCAGGAGCGGCAGGGAGAGGGTGCACCAGGGGGGGGGGCGCCCATCGTTTCCCTCCTGGCCCTCCTCTGCCCCCGCGCTCCGCTCGCCTTTCCTGATCCCGCCCTGTGGCTCTTCCTGCGCCGTCGCGGGGCAGTCGCTCTGGATGAGCCGCTCCAGAGCTCGTCGCGGCCATTCGTGAGCCTCCTCGGAGTCTACCCATAGCCCCTTTGGCCATGTCGGAACCACTTCGGGCTCTCGCGGGGCCGTCTCGGAACTTCATCTGGGCACGTTGTGTTTGCTGTTCGCGTTGCAGGATCGTAACTATCTCATGGGTAGCATGTTTGGGCCGTCGTGGGCTCGTTCGGAAGGCCTCATCGGCCCTCATGGAGCGGTGCTGGCCAATGTTGTGCCACGCTGGGCACCCCTGACGGCTATTCTGAATGTGTGATCGGCACCTCGCTCTGTCCTTCGAAGCAGCCGTGTGACAGTTGGGGCAGAAAGTGGAAGGGGTAACGTCGGGGGGCGGGGATGGGGATGGGGACGATGATGGAGGAGTACGAGTACGAGTAGAAGTATGGGCATGACCATGCGCCAGAGTGAATGAATTCCTACACTACGTGACATATTACACAAGAGGCAAGAGGCACGACTACAGTCAAAAACCCTAATAAGGACGCGCGGTAAGGACGCAAGACCCTTGGAAGCCGAAGTTGGGATTCTTGGGGCGGCGGACGACGAACACCTCAAGGACGCAAGAGCAAGGAAGAGCGGACGCAGGGGTACCCTGAGCAAAGTCGCGCGTCCTTATAAGGGTTGTTGACTGTACATACGACCACGGCTATGCTTTTTGTGCTGCGCTTAAGCTCTTAGGCCACCAGCCGCGAGCATCTCAGTGGATATACTCCGCTCGAGCGACTGTGACTCGTTGGATGCACATCTTGCCTACCTCACGCAGAACAGAGGAGGCAACGAAACCACACGACTTGCAACACCATTGTTTACGTGGTGTGGTACTGCGTTGCGCGAAACTGATACCCACCCGCTGTGTGCAAATATGCCTGGGGGGGTACATGGAAGGATTCCGTCCGGATTGACAGTCAGGCAACATTCATATTGACGTCGTTTGGCCCTCCACAACAAGCGCACACCCTCCCAGCGTCATCGAGACGATGGGAGGTAGACGAAGGGGAGTGAGATGCAGCAGACGGCGAAGGAAGACCAAGGAGGGATGATGCTTTCTGACCAGGGCATGCAGCAGCTTCCGCTCCCATGGCATCCAACGTCGACCGAAGAAGCCTGAGCCCGACCAGTCTGGCCCTGCTTTCATGGAGGAGCACCTTTTGCCGCACTTTCAGTGGCAGGCGCGTCTCTTCGGCAGCTGCACCAGCAATGCCATCCACGACCAATTTGTCAGTGCTGACCCACCTCGGCGCCGCACCAGCTGCGATGTGCGACGCCTCAAGATGGAAATGAGCAGAAGCACCGTCACCGCTATCCGACGCTGCAACTGCCTTGCCTGCGCGAACAAGCGACAGACGATTTTGAACCAAGCGAGTGCTCATCGGAAGGACAAGGGACTTGGGGATTGGCCGACGTGGGGCCTGCATCAAGCGAGTCACCAACTGATGCCCAGAGCTGCGAACACAAGGACCTCTAACCCAAGCTGAAGCATCCAGGGGACTAGCACCGCAATGTCCACTTTGAGAACGAAAGGCCTGGTGGCAACAGTCCACAAGGTGGAAACTGCATACGTGCCAGCTGCGAAGGGACACGGGGCTTCGACATCTGCTGCCGCGAGCAGTGCGCCAAGCTTATTCTAGGGCCCTGTCTTCGTCAGAGCCGCTGGTCTCATGCTAGTGTCATATGACCGCCCGCGGGCACTGCAGCGCGTGCGCGAGAGCCGAAAGTCTCTGGAAGCTTTACGCGTTGAACACCGCGGGCCCAATCCTATGGAACGCGTAGAACATGATCAACACAACAGAAGATCCCTGAAAGTGCACTAGCATCACCGAGTAGCCGTCGAACGCCTTGTGGGATAGTGCATGCAGCCTCGTGCCAGAAGCACGACCAGCAGAAAAGGCGAGCAACTCGAAGGTTGTTTCTTGCCGTGCGCCACTCGCCCCCGCGTTGGCGCGCTCCTCCTGTGAAAGCGATGCGTGGCGATCACTCGGACGAGCAGGATTGAAAACTGCGTGCGAGCCCTTGCCCCGAGCGTCACCTTCCTGATGCACGTGGACCCCCACTATGGCGTAGAATGCGTAGGCTGCCTGCTCGATGAACGACCGAGCCCCTTGCCCCATAAGAAGACATTCGCGCAGAGAATAAGCGAGACGTTCCGCGTTGCACCCGGCATGGGATCGCCTAGTACAGACGACCCCCGAGCAGCAGATGGGTCGGCACCCTCGCCCGTTCCCGCCTCCGCGGCCTTGGCCTGGGCCTCGTCCTGGAGCTTCGCCTCGGACGGGCTCCTGCCCTCAGGCCTCGACATCGGCAGCCTGGGCGGCAACAGCCCCCGCCTCCTGGGCGGGCGCTGCGGCCTCGTCGGCCGCGGGCCCACCTGCCGACGCCCCGCCGCTTCCTTCGCCAGCCCCTGGGGCGGCTACGGCGGCGAAGGCGGCTGCGCCATCAGCGTCGACTCCCACTTCTTTTGCGTCCTCGCAGAAATCTCCTTGCGGATCTTGTCCACGCGATTCAGCCACTCACGCAATTCATCTTCATTCGCCGTCATCTCCTTCTCGGTGGTAAGCGAGCGCTTGTGGATCCCCTTGGATCCGTCGCGTTCTGCATGCTCCAACGTCCTCTGCCCAAGCAGCGGCTACCACCGCCGCCTTCTTGGCAAAGGTCGTCTCCGCCAGCGTCTTGACCGTGTCCTGCTCCCTACCTCTGGCCAGCGCCAACGATTGACGAAGACGAGACACATGTGAAACTGCCTGCGATTGTTTGTGATGACCACCCCGAAAGGCGCCATCAGCGCGCCGTAGCAAGTCCGTGATCGAGGTTTCCTTCTGCTTGGACCCCCCGGCCTCCTTCTCCCACCTGACGGCCTGTTGCTGGAGGCGGGATGTCAACTCTGGATCGGCCTGGCGCTCTCGTGCACTCTGAGCCGAGAGGCGGCAGTGAAGCGGCCACGGGCGGCAACGTGGCGAAACCTCGCCGGATCCATCCAGCTATACCTCATGAGCGACATACATGTAGATTCGAACACTATTGCTTGTGTGTGTATATATACACATATGCGTGTGTGTGTGTGTGTGTGTGTGAATGCATCCATGTACGTGCAACCGTGCCTCGAGACACGAAGAAGAGTCCCCCGCAGACGTCTAGGGATCTTCTCGAATCGGCATTAAATGTCGAAAGCTTCGAACAGGGAGCAGGGAACCCCAAATCCCAAGCGGTCGCGAGTCGCCCAAATATCGTTGCAAGGCGCCCAAGATGGCCCACAGAAGGCCCACACAAGGCCCCCACGACACCCCAAGAAGGCCCCCAGAGGCCCCCCAAGAGGTCCCGAGATGCCAACGACATGTTTCTTTGTTTTTGCATTTGAAAATATTAGTGCTTTCGCCATTTCGGATTTTCGCACTCCAGGACGAATCAAGAGGCCCCAAAAATCCCCCCAAAACGGCCCAGCCCACGGGGGCCCCCAAGAGTGTTCACAGACAGCCCAAGATGGCACCAAGACGGCCCTAGAGGCCCCCACGACTGCCTTATAGGGCCTCAAGGGGGGCCCAAGAGAGGCTCCCAAGGGGGAGGGGGGGGGGCGAACTGACATGTCGAGCCCTTCGCCCCAAGACGGCCCCCAAGACAAACAGCAGGCCCCAAAAGGATCCCCCAGAAGTTTCAGGAGGCCCCAGAGGAGGCCCAATTCAGGTCCCAAGAAGCCCACACGAGACTACCGAGAGACACCCAAGACCTCTCCAAACCGAATCCAAAAGGCTTTCAGTAGGCCTCCCAAGAGCTCCCCACAGGCATTCCAGAGGCCTCTGACCTACAACCCAGGCACGGTGGATGACCCAGGCAGGGATGGGCCGAATGCCACCCTACATGCATGCATGCATGCGTGCATGCTTACATATTTTAAACAACACATACTTCCAAACAGGCAGACAGACAGACAGACAGACAGGCAGGCAGACATACAGACAGACATACCAGCATACATACATACACACACATACATACGTACATACATGTATACATCAATACATCCATATATATTCACACGTGTACGTACATGCAAGTCCATACTACATACAGACATGCAGCATGCGATACATATAACCATATACACGTTCATTCGTACATGTCTACACACCTACATACACGCATGCATACCGACACGCATACATGCATACACATACATGAATTCATACATAAAAACCTACATGTGTGCAGAACGGGAATTGTACATGTATAACTGCACACATGCGTGCATACGCAATGTGCGCACACACATACACATCCATAGAAACATAGACACACGTACCTGCCTACACGCAGATATGCATACATCCATACACACGTACAGGCTTGATTCCATACACGCATACATACACACATACACGCATACGTAACTGTATACAAGCACGTTCATGCACGCACGCGTACGCACATACATACACCCCTACACTCATCTACATGCCTGCACTCAAATACGTGCAGACACATACACACATACGCACAAACGCACAATCATACCTGCATACGTGTATCTATGTTTATATACATGTATGCATACATCCATTCATACACACACAATCACACACATACACACACGCGTACCGACAAACGCATGTATGCATACAATCATACACACACATGCATGCATACAACCATACACACATGCGTACCGATGCATACCCAGGCTACACACGATGACATACAGTCAGACCTGCATACGTACATAAACCCACACACACATACATACATATGCACATATACACAAACGTACACCAACTCATGCACACATACACTACGTACACACCCGAGCATAGTGTATTTATGTACACACATGTATGCAGATCTGCATCTATATAGATATGTTATGTGCATGTCCACCGTGCGCCGATACGCTGGAGGTCCACGCCCTCCCAACTCCTCCCCTTGTTGCTCCCGTTCCCTCCTCGACTGGGCGCCCGCCCGCCCCTCCTGCCGAGTCTCCGCGGACGCGTCCTCGGCCGACTCCATCACGGAGCGGAGGGCCGAGATCCACGCCTTTGCAGTTCCACAGACACAGGGCTCTCCCCCGCGCGCGGGGAGGAGGAGGAGGAGGAGGAGGAGGAGGAGGAGAAGGAGGAGGCGGGGGAGGATGAGGAAGGAGGACGAGGACGAGGAGGAGGAGGAGGAGCAGGAGCAGGAGGAGCAGGAGCAGGAGGAGGAGGAGGAGGAAGAGAAGGAGAGAACGAGGGAACGGAAGAGGATGCTGATGGTGATGATGCTAATGATGATGATGAGGAGGAGGAGGAGGAGAAGAGCAGAGAGAAGAGAGGAGGGAAGAGGAGGAAGAGCAGGAGAAGGAGATGGAGGAGAAGAAAGGACCACAACGAGGAGAGAAGTAGGAAGAGGAGCGAGATGAAGGGAGGAGTCTGGAGGAGGAGGAGGACAAGGAGGAGGAGGATGAGGAGGAAAGATGAGAATGAGGAGAAGGGAGGCGAGGAGGAGGAAGAGAAAAGAGGATGGAGGTGTTGGCCAGAGTCGTGCCTCTGCGAGCCATGGATATGCTGAGGCCAAGCGAGCGTATGCGAGCAGCGTAACCTGAGACACGGCGGAGGCCATCCCTTTGTTAGACCCCAGGGGCAGGCTAGGGGGTAGTGGTGCCCGAACACGAAGAGAGAACGAAGGAGAGAGAGAGAGAGAGAGAGAGAGAGAGAGCGAGAGAATGAGGGAGAGAGAAGGGCGTGGAGGGGGCAACGGAAGGACGGCGGAGGAGGAAGGAGGAAAGCGGAAGATAGATGGAATCGTTTTGCCATAGCGGGCCTTTCGCAGATGGCTTCGTGCCCTGGAGCAACAAAAAACAACTGTTCAGGATGGAAGGGCAGCACCGGGGAAGATGTCTGCTGAGGGGTGGGCGAGGCGGAAAAGGAGGAGGAGCGAAGGAGGAGTGAGGAGGGAGGAGGAGAGGAGAAGAGAAGAGGAGAGGAACACAAGGAAGGCGAAGGAGGGATGAGGGAGAAGGAGAGAAAGTGAGGGAGGATGAAGAGGCGGAGGAGGAGGAGGAGGAGGACGATAAGAGAGGCGAAGCAGGAGGGAGGCGGAGAAAGCAAGTAAGGTGAAAGGGGGAGGGCGAGGAGGAGGAGTGGGGGACGTGGGGCAGAGGAGGATGAGGAACGAATGAGGAGGAGGAGGAGGAGGAGGAGGAGGAGGAGGAGAAGGAGGAGGAGGAGGAGGAGGAGGAGGGGGACCAGTGCAAACCCAAGACACATGAACGAGGTTGGAATACACCCTCCCCGCAAGCTTCCTTTCACAGGCCCCCCAAAGGCTTCATTACCTTTGAGTGAAAAGCCCAGTTGGGAGACGAACGTGTGAAGAGACTGAAGCGTGTCGAGACACCATTATTGGAACCTCAACTCCACTAATCAACCTGACTGTTGCGCCTTGGCAATCGTGAACCGCTCCAAAAGACCATTCCTGGCACCTTTACCATGGTGAGGCGTGAGACTCTTGCAGTGCTTAAAAAAATTGTGCGCGACGCTAAAGCGAGAGCCACGTTTTGAAAAGAACCGCCCTCTACCAGCGAAACTCTTCCAACTGTTGAAAGAGGAATGCTCGTGCCGCTGAAACGAGAGCCACATGTTGAAAACGAGACGCCCTCTTGCGTGTTTGTGGGACAAATGTGCTCGGCGCTACAAGCGAGAGCTACATGTTGCAAATGGCCCGCCCTCAATATTTGAAACTCTTGTACTGTTTTATAAAGAGTGCGCGGCGCTAAGGCGAGGGACACATCTTGAAAACTACCCGCCCTCAATCCGTGAAACCCTTGGATTTGTTTAAGACGAATGCGCGCGACGCTCAGGCGTGAATAATATCTTGGAAACCACCCGCCCTCCATCTTGGAAGCCGGTACAAACTCTTAAGCTTCAGGGTCAGAGGTAACTCATAAGTCTCAATCGAAACGCCTGGCCGGCCTTCCCTTTCGACCGGCCTCGGGGCTCGACAGGGCGGAGTTGTTCATCAGGAAAAGGCATGGAAGAGAGGACTGCGCGTGCGGACTGCGCCTTTGGACTGCGCCTGTGGACTGCGCATGTGGACTGCGTATCTGGACTGCGCATTTGGACTGCGTACTTGGACTGCGCAGCTGGACTGCGCGTGTGGCCTGCGCATCTGGACTGTGCATTTGGACTGCGTATCTGGACTCCGTATCTGGACTGCGCATCTAGACTGCGTATGTGGACTGCGTGTTTGGACTGCGCAGCTGGACTGCGCGTGTGGCCTGCGCATCTGGACTGCGCATGTGGACTGCGTATTTGGACTGCGTATCTGGACTGCGCATCTAGACTGCGTATGTGGACTGCGTGTTTGGACTGCGCAGCTGGACTGCACACGTGCACTGCGCATGTGGACTGCGCATGTGGACTGCGTATTTGGACTGCGCAGTGGGACTGCACGTGTGGACTGCGCATATGGACTGCGCATGCCGACTGCGCACTGCGGAGGGTGGACTGCGCAGCTTCGGACCGCGTCTTGCGCGGGTGGACTCCTCGGGGCAGGCCCGCGCCGTTGTGCGAGAAGGCAACACTGCGGCGGGGCTGCGGGCGGCACCCCGCAGGGGTGCCCCGGCATACTGCCGCTATCCTCCTCCTCCTCCTCCTCGTCCTCCTCCTCCTCCTCCACCCCCTCCTCCTCCACCTCCTTCTCCCGGACCTCCTCCTCCTCCTCCTGGTCCTCCTCCTCCCCCTGGTCCTCTTCCTCCTCCTCCTCCTCCTCCTCCTCCTCCTCCTCCTCCTGTTCCTCCTCCTCCTCCTCCTCCTTCTCCTCCTTCTCCTCCCTATCCTCCTCCTCCTCCTCCTCAACCCCCCCTTCCCCTCCTCCTCAGCTGGTGCTCGCGCGAGTCACGCAGCTGCGCACCAGCAGCCACCCGCGCAACCGCCCCCCCCTATGCTGAAACTTCGGGGGACCTTGTCTGTCCCGTCGCGGCCCCATCCGCGTCGAATCCGTGTCGAATCCGCGTCGGACTCGTTGGATCCGTGTCGAATCCGTGTCGAATCCGCGTCGAATCAGCGTCGAATCCGCATCGAGATCGAGTCGGGTCCACGAGAAGACACACGTTTTCAGGACAGGTGAGGTACATGCAACAGAACCACAAGTATGGATGGGCGCTCCTCCTCCTCCTCCTCCACCTCCTCCTCCTCCTCCACCTCCTCCTGGACCTCCTCCTCCTCCTCCTGGTCCTCCTCCTCCCCCTGGTCCTCTCCCTCCTCCTGGCGCTCACCGTGGAACCCGCCGATCGCTCCCGTCAGATCTCCCCGTCAGACAGAGCTAGCTCCCCTCGGGGGAGCCCGCGGTTCTGTCAGCCCTGGCGGGGAGGGTCCGGGAGACCGGGCGGACACGCACCAGGATCCGCGGCATGGATTGGCAGGAGAGAGAGTGGGAAGGAGGAGGGAGGAGAGAGGAGAAGAGGGAGGAGGTAGAAGGAGGAAGGAGGAGAGGGGGAGGAGAGGGGGAGAGATGAGGAGGGAGGAGGAGGAGGAGGAAGAGCAATCACGCCGCCCGCCTCAGGGAGGCGGTCAGATCCAGGAGGAGGAGGAAGGAAAAAGGAGGAAGGAGGAGGAATACCAGGGGGAGGAGGTAGGGCGGAGCAGGAGGGACGATACCGATGTTGATGCTGATGGTGCTGATGATGCTGATGAACATGATGATGGTGATGTTGCTGCTGATGATGATGGTGATGATGGTGATGCTACTTATGATGGTGATGATGCTCAATATGATAATGCAGATGATGATGGTGTTGGTGAGTAAGATGATCATGCTCATGATGATGAGGGTGAGCAGGATCATTGTGACAAGTATGCGGGATCTGATTATGCTAATGATACTGCTGATGCTAATGTCCATGAAGGTAATGATGATGATGGCGGTGGTGGTGATGATGGTGGTGATGATGATGATGAGGAAGAAGAACACGACCCCTCCATGCCACCTGAGCCTGAACGCAAAGGATTCCATCCCTCCCACCCTGCCCCAAAAAGCAGCACCTCAAAGTCAGCATGCCATTGCTACGGAGGATGGGGGCGGGAGGAACGACGAGCGGCAGGGAGGAGGAGAGGACCGATGCGGAGGCGGAGCACGGAGGAAGCAGAGGGAGGAGCCGCAGGACTCGGACCCTGCTCTTGGCGGACATCAGGGTACCGACGCCGCTGCTCGCCCCGGGCCTCTCCTGCAGCGCATTCTGACCCAGATTTCGCAGGCGATGGACATGTTGTCCTTGCCCCCCCCTCGCTTCTCGACCCCACGAATGGCCAGAGAGGCAGCATGGATAACATTCTGGCCGCCAGAGCCACGGGTTTAACCCTGCCGTGCCCCCCCTGGCGCCAAAAGAAGTGGCCAGCAGCAAGAATTGGGATCGAGCGTCGATCGTCGATTTCGAGGCGGATCCAACCGTGGCAACAAAGGGACGCGTCGCGACATTGGCACCTCCTCCTTCTCCTCCTTGTGATCCTGTCCCTCCCGCCCCCCAGGGTATGCACAAGGGAAGTCGACACGACCGACCGACATCAGAGACCACCCAGCGGGAGGAGCCTGGGGGCGCCCCCCCGGTGGCGAGCCCTTCCCCCCCCCCCCCGCCTCCCTCTCGCTCAGGACACTCCCTGCCTCCAGCTCGGGGAGGCATCGTGGATCTCCTCCCTAGGAGGTGGCCCCCCTGGTGGTGGCGTCGCTTCTCCCTCCTCCCCCCCCCCCCAAATGGGGCCCTCCTCGAGGTCGACGTCCGGTGGAGTCAGCAGCTCCAGCTCATGGTCGTCCAAACCTCCGCTCCGCCACCACGGCCGCCCCCCCTGGCGAGGAGCCCGACAGGAAGCCCGCAGCGCCAGGCACCTCCGAGGCCAACGGCGGTGACGAGGGTGAGGAGACGTGACACGATGGTGACGACGGCAACGACAACGACGACAAGGGGTTTTGACGGTGGGTATCATCAAATCGACGCTGTGTTTTCTACGCAATGTGATCTACGCAGTCTTTTCTACGCTGAGCCTTCTATGCGAAGTTACCAGCATTATGTTGTTAACGCGATGTATTTCACGTGGTGGTATCACCTCCACGTATTTACGCAACGCCGTCTACGCAGTCTCATCAACGCAGCGTTGTCTACGCAATGTGTTCAACGCTTCTTCTTCTAAGCGGTATATACGTGATGCTTTAAACGCAGTGCACTTTATGCACCTGCGTAAGTTGACGCAGTGTTCCCTACGCTGCGTCCCTACGCAGTGTTATCTACGCTGTGCCTTCGACGCTGTGTTTTTTTTGTACGCTGTGTCTTCTAAGCGGTGTTATATTCGTTGTGTGTTTAACGCGGTATGTTTCACGTGGTGTTTTATTCGCAATGCTTTCGCAGTGCTGTACGTTTCCTACGCACTGTCTTCTACGTAGTGTGTTATACGCTGTGTTTCATACGCTGTGTTTTCGCAATGCCTTCTACGCTGTGGCTTCTGCGACATGTCCTCTTCGCAATGCCGTCTACGCGGAGGCTTCCACGCAGTGTCTTCTGCTCAGTGTGCAATCACACGTATATATTATATGCTGTGTTCCTTCCAAGTGTATTATACCCAGTGCCTCGTACAGTGTTATCGACGCAGTGCTTTCAACGCTGCAAGTCGAAGACGAACGCCCATAGTGAAAAACGCACCCGAAGAATTACTGTATTGACGTCTTCGAGCTGCAGAAGTCTGGGGAGGGTAACCTGGACATCCTTCTCATCCCTCGCCTCCTCTTGGCACGGTGCCCTCCCCCCCGGCGCGCCGATCGCGAAGCCGTCGTCCTTGATGCTCACTCTGCAGACCTGCCAGCCCATGCTCTGTGGAGGAGAACGGCCCCGCAGACGGCGATCCCATCAGCTAACAAGCCAAATGAAGGGGCCACCACGCTGGAACAGGCCAGATCAAGCCCAAGACTGAGCTAGATCAAACCACACTGAGCCGAATCTTGACCGGAATCAGTGGAATCAGGCTGGACTCCACTGGACTAGGCAAGCCTCCGACCACGGATATAGCAGCGCTGATGCTGAATCAGATCTCCCTGGAGCTTAGCTGCCCCGATACGCAACACGCAACACGTAGAGTATTAATACGGAGCTCAACACGTAGGCGGACAACGTAGGTCCGACGCGATGCATTCGCCAGAACGTGGCCCAATACGTGGAACCAGCACGCAACGTACTGAAACGAACGTCTTGAACACGGGACGTATTGCGTTTCAAAACGGGCGTATCCAGGCAACTAAGCCCTGGAGCTGCCTCGTCCACCCTCGCGCTCCCTACTCTTAAGTCGGGCGTGTCCCCCTACAGGGGGATTTTCGACAAGAAATAAAAATACTCAAGAAATACCCCCAAATGGTAAACAAAAATGCTCAAACAATATGTCCCCAGACTATTCTTTGACTATGTTTGAATATTCCTCCTGTAGAGGGACAGGCACGACTAAACCCTACTCCCACATCGGCGAAAGAACCGCTCGTGCCTTCGCTGAGCGCCCACGCTGCCGCCGTCGCCGGGCGTGCTGCAGCAGGAGGCACCCCCAGCACATGCCAGGCAGGGAAAGAGAGAGAGAGAGAGGGAGAGGGAGAGAAAGAGCACTCCGCCTCCCCCCCCAAAAAAAATTGGAGTCATGGAACGGGGCGGTGACGGACCGTGCGGTGACCTCGAAATCCCCCAAAACCTCACCGCACTGCCCGTCACCGCACGGTCTTGGGACCCCGGAGGCCCCTGTCGCCCGAGACATCCTCGGAGAACGGCCCGAGTCCCAAAACCGTGCGGTGACCCCGAATCCCCACCGACTCACCGCACGGTGTGGTCACCACACCGCTTGGGGGCCGCCGACAAGAGCCAGCGGGGGCCAGGAGGGACCGGAGAGCAACGGCGCGAGGAGGCCGAGGACCGCGGGGCAGCGGGCCTCTCCTCCAGAGAGGTGTGCCGCCGCAGCAACGAGAGAGCGGCACCGAGGTCGGCGCACGGCGGCCCCGGAAGAGGAAGACAGCAGAGGGGCCGACCGGAGCACCGAGCGGCACGCGCCGGATACGGGCGGGGACAGGACGCGCCGAACTAGGAAAAGTGGTCCGAGCCAGCGGGCTTCTGGCCACCACTGGTCGGTGAGACGTAGTGAGCGTGCTGTGGCGGTGGCTGGGGTTCCTCCCTTCGGACGGTCGCGGCTAGCACCGACTAGGTGAGCGCTCGGAGCCGAGCTGCTCATCACTTTCTCGGCTCCTCCAGCAGAGGCTGCCGAGGAGCTGAACAGCTTTCGCACTGCATCCACGTTGACCACAGCGTGAGCGACGAAATGCAAGGGGTCGCACACGAGATGGTACCGCGACCTTACGCGGTGGCTTACGCGGGCCGCTCGTCTGGTACGCTGCCTTGGAGACGAGGAAGCTTTCGCGGGACCTTACGCGGGCAGCTTACGCGCCCATGTCGGCGCAGTCGACCCCGTTTTCTTTTGTCGCTCACGCGTCGCTTCCTGGGGTTCGGGGAGTTGCGGCGGGGGAGCGGCGGCGCGGGGAGACAGGCAGATCCCTGGGGGGAGGTGGGCGGTGCGGGAGGACGGAGGAGACTGTCTGCTCCGGGATGGGAGTGGAGTGGTGAGGGAGGCGGGGGCTCAGGAGGCAACTCCTGGGAGGCCCTCGCTGGAACGATGTAAAACGATTAAGCCCGATTAAGAGGCCATTCGCCAGACCAGGCTGGATTAAGCCAAATATTGAGCCGGACGAAACTGTACGAAACGGGATCAAACGGGTCTAAGCCGAATTTGCCCATATTGAGCCCGTTATCGACCGCGAAAATACCAGCGATGTGTGTAATTGGTACACCCCTGGCAGGCTCGAGAAGTCTCAGCGGCGCAGCGCCGTCGCGCGAGCAGTGCCCCTCGAGGTGACTGCCTCAAGCGCAGCGGTATTTGCCCCACCTTTCGACCTGACCGTTTGCCCGGGATAATAAAGCACACACACACCCCTCTCCCCCGATCCTCAGGACTATCCCCGGGCAAGACAGTTTTGGTCAGCGGCGGGGAGCGGCGGAGCCGAACTTCAGCATCGCCGTGGGAAGTATACATCGTAGATCGAATATTCTTCTCATGGTTGCCATCGTCATCATCCTCGTCGTCGTCATCATCATCCTGGTCGTCATCATCATCCTCATCCTCATCCTCCTCATCATCCTCCTCATCATCATCATCATCATCATCATGATCACCATCATCAACATCAAACAAAATCATCTGCAGCATCATCGGCATCATAATCATGGTTATCATCTTCCTCCTCCTCCTCCTCGTCATCAGCATCATCACCATCATCATGCTTCTCATTATCATCGTCATTCGCCGAGTTCGCGACGTGAGGATGTCTCAGGCGAAACGCACATGTATCATTTGTGTGAGGATCTCTCAAGCGAAACGCTCAATGTTTAGAGCTTCCACTTCCCTTCTTCCGTCCCCGCAGCAAGTTTTCGAAGATTCGCTGAGTTCGCGACCAGCTGCTTCCTTACACCTTACAGTAGTTAGTACTTTTCAGGATTCCTTATCCTTCCACCCCTCCAGGGAGGCCCCGCAAGGGCGAACACAAGATCACTGTAGCATGAGACAATCCGTGCATCCGTACACTCCGGAAGATTCCGTTCGCTCCTCCTCCTCATGCTCCTCTTCCTTTCTGTTGCGACCTGCCGGGGCAAGTTTATCATCCCGCCAGAACCCGAACGTTATGATCCCCACCCTGTGATTATCGGGGGCACGGGGTCAATTCCCTCCACCCCCTCCCCAGCAATTGTCCCAAAGACCGCGGGTGGCACCAGGGATACGGCTACTTAGCGTCGTGTCGACCCCAACGTTGGTCTCTGACTCCGCGGGGATCGTTTAACCTTTAACGATCGGCCGTTTCCGAAACGTCCAAATCGTTCCACGTCGAACGATTCTGGGTCGCCCGCGGCGTTGAAAATTGAACGCCGCTGGCGGGGTCGCCGCCGGTCGACACGTCGACACGACACGAACCTACCGTAAAGATGTGGAGGCGGAGGCGGAGCAAGACGAAGGGGACAGGCAGAGCTCGAGGACACTAGAGCAGAAAACCAACTCTCGCCTCGACGGCCGAGGGGGGGGCAGCCTGTGATCCGGCAGGCGTGTGCGTGTAGTGCGCGCGTGTGCGTTTAGGTCGGGCCTGTCCCCCTACAGGCGGATTTTGGACGAAAAATAAAATCCGCCGACCCTGTCGGCGTGTGGAATGCGTGGTTCGTCGTGGTTGTTGTCCTCGTACGTACTCGTCTTCTTTTCTGGGTCCGTCGCCGCTCCCCCCCTCTTTCCGTGGGCCCTCGTCCTCAAGCGCGCCAGCCAAAGCGAAATGAAGCAACCCAGCCAAAGCGAAATTAATAACGTTGTCATTGGGTCGAAGGGAAGTCCCTTCCCTTTGATCCCTTCCCGCGGGGGGGGGGGAGGGTCCCAAGGGGGGGTTTAAGGTAGACGGGTCCAAGACCAACAAGACACCCCAAGAACGCCTACGGAGGCCAAACGGGCCCTCAGACGGGCCAGAGGAGCCCCACAAGGACTCTCAAAAAGGCCCGGAAAGGCCACATTCACTGATTTTCGGAAGGGTTTCGTCCCCGCCCTCTCCCTCCCATTTCCGTCGAGAGCCGAGGCCTCCAGAATTGGTTGCTCCTACTCGCTTCCTCTCGCTGCTCACCCACTCCTCCTCCTCATTCTCCTCCTCCTCCTCCTCCTCCTCCTCCATTTCCTCCTCCTCCTCCTCCTCCGCATTCCTCTCGCTGCTCCCCCACTCCTCCTCTTCTCCTCCTCCATCTCCTCCTCCTCCTCCTCCTCCTCCTCCTCCTTCTCTCCTCCTCCTCCTCCTCCTCCTCCTCCTCCTCGTCCTCTTCCTTCTCCTCCTCCTCCTCCTCATCCTCCCCCCCCCGTCCTCCCTCATTCGCCTCCTCTACCCTTCCTCTTCCCCCCCCCAATCCTTGTCCTCCGCCTCCTACCCCCCCGTTCGTTTTCGTCTTCGTCGTCTTCAGGGTCGGCGGCACCAGCCGCAAGGCTCTCGCAATGCCCCAGAAAATACTCCAACATGGTGAAACAAATTGTCAAATAATCGTCATCAGATTATGTTTTCAACTAGGTTTGAATATTCCTCCTGTAGAGGGAGAGGCCCGACTTAAGTTTAACTCGGGCGTGTCCCCCTACAGGGGGAATTTCGACGACAAATAAAACATATCCCCAAGACGCCCCCAAATCGTTTTAAAATGCTCAAGTAGTAGTCCCCGCCATTTTTTTGTGTGTGTGTGGCTATTTCTGAAGACTTTTCCTGTAGAGGGACAAGCCCGACTTAAACTTAAGCGTGCGTGTTTGAAGCATCCATACACGTTGCTCATCGCCTTCATGGGCCTTCATGGGCCGCATTCATACACGTCGACCTGTTCACGTCCTTCCGCACGCAGCACTTGAGGATGGTGATAATGATGCGCCGTCGACGGCAACACCACACCGCTCACCCTCGGGGGCGTCGGCCCCAGCTCCTGTCCAAGGTGAACCTTTTCATGTGCAAGCTCTTCAGCACCGCCTGCACCCCGCGCCCTCCGGCCGCATGAAGCCCCGCCCGCCCGCGCCCTGTCTCCCCAATTCGGGCTACCCGCGTCCCGTTTAGCCTTTGACCGGAAGGGGCCCGCTCCCGACCCGCAAACCAAAAGTGTGTGAAGCATCCATGCCAGGATGGCCCATGGCTGGCCGCGGCGCCGCTCGCCCTGAGCGGCTCGAGGGGGCTCTCGGCCGCTGCTCGCGCGCGCGCGCTCCCGCCACGCCCTGCGAACGCGTCACGGACCGAGGCCGCGCCGAGGGCCCCCCCCTGCGCAGTCCTGAAGGGGCCCCAGGACACACAAACTTCGTTTTGGTCTGCGGGTCGGGAGCGGGCCCCTTCCGGTCAAAGGCTAAACGGGGCGCGGGTAGCCCTAACTGGGGAAACAGGGCGCGGGCGGGCGGGGCCTCAGGCGGCCGGAGGGCTCAGAGTACAGGCGGTGCCGAAGATCTTGCACAGGACAAGGTACGCCATGGACTGGAGCAGGGGGCGTAGTCCCAGAGCGAGAGTGGATTGGTGTTGCCGTCATCGGCGCGCCAAGAACACCATCCTCGAGTGCTGCGTGAGGAGGGCCGTGAGCAAGTCAACGACCAGCTGCTTCCTTACACCTTAGTGCTTTTCAGGATTCCTTATCCTTCCACCACTCCAAGGAGGCCCCGCAAGGGCGAACACAAGATCACTGTAGCATGAGACAATCCGTGCATCCGTACACTCGGGAAGATTCCGTTCGCTCCTCCTCCTCCTCATGCTCCTTTTCCTTTCTGTTGCGACCTGCCGGGGCAAGTTTATCATCCCGCCAGGACCCGAACTTTATGATCCCCTCCCTGTGACTATCGGGGGCACGGGGTCAATTCCCTCCCCCCCCTCCCCAGCAATTGTCCCAAAGACCGCGGGTGGCACCAGGGATACGGCTACTTAGCGTCGTGTCGACCCCAACGTTGGTCTCTGACACCGCGGGGGTCGTTTAACCTTTAACGATCGGCCGTTTCCGAAACGTCCAAATCGTTCCACGTCGAACGATTCTGGGTCGCCCGCGGCGTTGAAAATTGAACGCCGCTGGCGGGGTCGCCGCCGGTCGACACGACACGAACCTACCGTAAAGATGTGGAGGCGGAGGCGGAGCAAGACGAAGGGGACAGGCAGAGCTCGAGGACACTAGAGCAGAAAACCAGCTCTCGCCTCGACGGCCGAGGGAAGGGGGCAACCTGTGATCTGGCAGGCGTGTGCGTGTAGTGCGCGCGTGTGCGTTTAACTCGGGCCTGTCCCCCTACAGGCGGATTTTTTGGACGAACAATAAAATCCGCCGACCCTGTCGGCGTGTGGAATGCATGGTTCGTCGTGGTTGTTGTCCTCGTACGTACTCGTCTTCTTTTCTGGGTCCGTCGCCGCTCCCCCCCTCTTTCCGTGGGCTCTCGTCCTCAAGCGCGCCAGCCAAAGCGAAATGAAGCAACCCAGCCAAACCGAAATTAATAACGTTGTCATTGGGTCGAAGGGAAGTCCCTTCCCTTTGATCCCTTCCCGCCGGGGGGGGGGAGGGTCCCAGGGGGGTTCCAGGGGGGGGTCCCGGGTCAAAATGCCATCCCTCGTTTGCGGCTTTTATAGAGAGGCCCTCTGTGGATGCGCTAGAGGAAGGGGGGGTCGCCACGACGGATCTGCAAGAGCACCCCTAGACGGCCCAAGACCAACAAGACACCCCAAGAACGCCTAAGGACGGCCAAACGGGGCCCTCAGACGGGTCAGAAGAGCCCCACAAGGACTCTCAAGAAGGCCCGGAAAAGGCCACATTCACTGATTTTCGGAAAAGTTTCGTCCCCGCCCTCTCCCTCCCATTTCCGTCGAGAGCCGAGGCCTCCAGAATTGGTTGCTCCTACTCGCTTCCTCTCGCTGCTCCCCCACTCCTCCTCCTCATTATCCTCCTCCTCCTCCTCCTCCTCCTCCTCCTCCTCCTCATCCTCCTCCTTTTCCTCCTCCTCCTCCTCCTCCTCCTCCTCCGCATTCCTCTCGCTGCTCCCCCACTCCTCCTCTTCTCCTCCTCCATTTCCTCCTCCTCCTCCTCCTCCTTCTCTCTCTCCTCCTCCTCCTCCTCCTCCTCTTCCTCCTCCTCCTCCTCCTCATCTTTCCCCCCCCCCCCTCTCCCGCTTCCTCTACCTTTTCTCTTCCCCCCCAATCCTCGCCCTCCGCCTCCTACCCCCCCCGTTCGTTTTCGTTTTCGTCGTCTTCAGGGTCGGCGGCACCAGCCGCAAGGCTTTCGCAATGCCCCAACCAACATGGTGAAACAAATGCTCAAATAATCGTCCTAAGATTATGTTTTCAACTAGGTTTGAATATTCCTCCTGTAGAGGGAGAGGCCCGACTTAAGTTTAAGTCGGGCGTGTCCCCCTACAGGGGGAATTTCGACGACAAATAAAACATATCCCCAAAACGCTCCCAAGTCGTTTCAAACTGCTCAAGCAGTAGTCCCCGCCCTTTTGTTGTGGCTATTTCTGAAGACTGAGGAACAAACCCGACTTAAACTTAAGCGTGCGTGTTTGAAGCATCCATACACGTTGCTCATCGACTTCATGGACCTCTTCACCCTGGCCGTCGACCTGTTCACGTCCTTCCGCGCGCAGCACTTGAGGATGGTGATATTGATGCGCCGTCGACGGCAACACCACGCCGCGCACCCTCGGGGGCGTCGGCCCCAGCTCCTGTCCAAGGTGAATCTTTTCCTGTGCAAGCTCTTCAGCACCGCCTGCACCCCGCGCCCTCCGGCCGCCTGAGGCCCCGCCCGCCCGCGCCCTGTCTCCCCAATTCGGGCTACCCGCGTTTCGTTTAGCTCTTGACCGGAAGGGGCCCGCTCCCGACCCGCAGACCAAAAGTGTGTGACGCATCCATGCCAGGATGGTCCATGGCTGGCCGCGGCGCCGCTCGCCCTGAGCGGCTCGAGGGGGCTCTCGGCCGCTGCTCGCGCGCGCGCGCTCCCGCCACGCCCTGCGAGCGCGTCGCGGACCGAGGCCGCGCCGAGGGCCCCCCCCCCTGCGCAGTCCTGAAGGGGCCCCAGGACACACAAACTTTGTTTTGGTCTGCGGGTCGGGAGCGGCCCCTTCCGGTCAAAGGCTAAACGGGGCGCGGGTAGCCCTAACTGGGGAAACAGGGCGCGGGCGGGCGGGGCCTCAGGCGGCCGGAGGGCTCAGAGTACAGGCGGTGCCGAAGATCTTGCACAGGACAAGGTACGCCATGGACTGGAGCAGGGGGCGTAGTCCCAGAGCGAGAGTGGATTGGTGTTGCCGTCATCGGCGCGCCAAGAACACCATCCTCGAGTGCTGCGTGAGGAGGGCCGTGAGCAAGTCAACGTCCGCGAGGCAGAGGAAGACCAGGAAGGCGAAGTGCACCAGGTGCCACCGACTGGTAAGGACACATCTCCTGAGCCTCTCCAGGACACACAAACAAATACACACAAATAAAAGGATCCCCTATATTTCCCCATATGTTCATGGTTTTTGGTTTCCCCCCACTGCCCATATTTCCCCATATTTTCTCAGAAATCGACGATTAATTGTGTCGGTGTGTTTTTTGTTCCCTCCTGAAGTCCCCTGTGGCGTCGAGGAACGGCCACTCCTGCAGCGCCCTGCGAGAGGGACCGCCCTCTGCGCACCCCCTGTAGTGCCGAGAAGGTGCCACTCCTGCCATTCCTTGCGAGCATGAGGCCGCGCTGAGGGATCACCCTCTGCGCACCCCCTGTGGTGTCGAGAAAGTGCCATGCCTGCCATGCTACACGTACGTCTTGTATATGGCGTCTCATGTGTATGTGTATGATGGGTGTGCGGCCGAATCGGGACGTGTGCGGTGCATACGTTTCAGGTGTATGATACAATTTACACGCCAGGCGCGCACAAGCGTTTTGGATTGTGTGAGTGCGTGTGTGTGTGTGTGTGTGTGTGTGTGTGTGCGTGCATGCGTGTAATGTGTTTGGCGTATCTTCTGCATGTGTATGATGCGTGTGCGGCTGTATGCGGACGAGTGTCTCATATACGCGCCGCGCATGCGTTGCGCGTGGGTGAAGGGAGGAAGAAAGAGGAGGATGGGAGGAGGAAGACGCGGGTGCAACGCGACACGGGAGAACACCAGAACCCCAGGAACCTTGTGGGAAATAAGCAACAACTTTTAGAGCTCCGCGCGGTTTTCTTGGATCTGCGCTGGACCCCCTCCCTGGCGAGCGGAGCGCGCCAGGGGCGGCGCTGGAGGCGCCGCCAGGGAGGCCCATGCACGGATCTAAGAAATCCGCGCGGAGCGCCAAAAGTTTATGTTCACGGCGTTGTTCCGTCTTCGATGAAAACCACCCGTGAGTTCCCGGATGCCGGGCCGAAGGGGTGCAACAGGAATACCAAACATGGATCCTCGAACCTCGGCCTGCCCGCCTGGCCCCACGGCTGCGGAGCGGAGCCCCGGGCCTGAGGGGCAACGAGAAGGGGGGGATGAGGATAGGGGGGGAAGCATCGACTCGGAATCGGCGATACATCGCCGCTAGATCGGCGATAGGCCTCCGATAGCGCATCCGCACCTTCCTGGGCAGGTTGGGGTTTTTGGGCCCGTATCGGCGATCAGTGGGCGAGTGGGAATCGATGGGTTCCCCCCCTGTGCACCCCCCCCCCCATCGTAGCCCCCGAGGGCCCCCCCTGGCCGAGCCATCCCCTCGGGCGACGTCCGCAGTCTCGACCGAGAGGGCGGGGCCCCCGCCAGCGTCACAGTCGGCCTCCACGCGGGGGGGGGAAGGGGGCACGCTCTGAGCCGCCGGCCTCTGCCGTGGGCCAACTGGCTCCTGAGAGAAGCTGGGGGCAGCCAAAGCCCTCACAGCCGGCGTTATGGAAAAATTGCAAAATCATGACAAAATGCCCCATGTAAAGTCCCCAGAAATCGGCCCCGATCCAATCACCAGGAACCGGGAACTAAGAGCCGGGAGCCCAGCCGGCCACCAGAATCGGCGGGACACTTTCGCCAAATGTTTCAATTTCCGGTAGGACATCGAGTGCAAGCACTGATTAGGGAACCACGGAGGGGGAGGAGGAGGGGGTCAGTCAGTCAAGCCTGGCGCACAGACGGCACATTGGCAAACATATTAAAAACTGGGAATGCGACCGGAAACGCCAACAATAGTCCCGGACTCGGGCAGTTTTGGCGATACGAATTCACCCTGCGAACGTACCAGCGCCACACGGGAGCAGGGGGAGGGGACGGGTGGCGAGGGGGCGGAGGACGGCGGGAAGGGGAGGAGGGAAAGGAACAGCTAAAGCCAATATTCGCCACATTGGTTGCGAACGCATGCAGACCATTGTTGCTTAGGCCTCCCTCGCTTCCGGCGGATATCGCAGCGCCGTGGCTCGTTGGAGTGCGGATCGCAAATGAGCATTCGTTAAAAACTGTCCTGGGAAAGCCGCAAGTTTATAATACAGTGCCGTGCGCTCACTGTGGCGCTCAATGCCGCCTCTCCACTTCGTTCCCATACTGTTTTGTTTGGGATTTGAATTTAAAAAGATGGGATGAACAATATTTTCCGGAGACGCCGCGCATGGAACCCATCAGGTTTGCGCTTGTCTGCTTGCAGAGCCATATGGATTCCAGATTGTACATCAGTTTTGGTACCACGATTGCTTTGCAGAGCTCGATCTGTCTATTTCGTGTGGTTCTCGCATGTGCCCAGCACTTGTGTAGAGATTTGAAGATGCCCTTTGCTTCGCCAATTCTGCGAGATAGTTCTGGTTTGGATGACAAGTCTGACGCCAACAGACCCCCCAACCAGTTGTACTGGTGCCCCCGACGGGTCTGAGATCACCCCATTGTGATTTGTGCCAATAGCAACTGTTTTGCCCCAGTTGAGTGCCAGGCCGTAGCGTGCACCTTCTTGGATAATGAGGTCGAGTAAAGTTCGAAGTTTGTCCATGAAACTGCCGACGAGCATCGCATCGCCCGCGTGCAACAGGTCGGAGCATACCGCGTACGGCGGTTCTTCGACAGTGTAGCCCCTGTCGCGCATTTTGCCGTCAATGTCGAAGAACATCACCGACTGTACAATGATGAACGAAAAAAGGAGAGAGCGGGCAACCTGGAGCGACGCCCGCGCGCTGTCTCCTTCGAGCTGACTCCCCCCCACCATCCTTCAACACAAAATACCGTTCACTATATATATATATATATATATATATATATATATATATCCCGGCTATGAACTCCACCATCCGCTCCGGGGTACCAAGGCTGCCTAGCGCTTCAACAAGAATATCTCGTTTTCTCCATTCGAATGCTTTGGCCCAATCAAGAAAAATAGCCAGCAACCCAGGCGACGCCGACGCGTGCGCTGCATCGAACATCCGGCGCGCAATGGAACTCGAGGCCGGATGCCAAATTGCGTATGACGCATGCGTCCTTCTGCACCTCTGACTTGTAATCATTGCTGTACCATAGATGCTACGACTTTGTGCCCGACGCGTATTCATGATATGGGCCTATAGTTGTCTGGTACGCTCGCTTCCCCCTTGTTGAGCAGTAGTGATGCGCATGCAACTTTCCACGCTTGCGGCATGCCGCCGCTTTCCCAACATCTCTGGCATAGTGTAAGCAGTGGCCCCAACGCCTCCGCGCTTCACACAAAAACCCAAAACTCAGGTGGCACTTCATCTTCTCCTGTTGCTTTCCCAACAGACAATCGTTCGAGGGCTTCCCGCAGTTCTTCCATCTTGAACTTGTTCGCGTCGACGGGGAGCACGTCTCCCAATGGGCGAGAGCTCGGGTTCGTTATCTTCCATTGTGTACTTTCGAAATAAACCTGCAAGTGCTTCTCCGCGCTGACTGCTTTCCACCAGGTTCCTAGTAAGGTTTTTTTGATTTGAAAAGGGGCGTTCGGTTGTGCTTGCGCGAAGTGCACGAGCGGCGCGCCATGGCCCGTCTCGAAGTCGATCGTTTAGCCAAATCCTTCTGCTTGCTGTACGGCGCGCATAATATTTTTATAAAGGCCCCGCTCCTCCTCCAAGTCGTTGGTCTTGCAGGCCGCGTCCCTGGCTGCAAATGAGTCCAGCGTGTGTTCCGGGATCCGCGATTTGCGCCGCTGCTTCCATGACTTCCCGATTGCCCCGGCAGCAGCCTTCATCGCGTGTGAGATGCTGTTTGCCACCCCATCCAATTCTTCAGGGAGCGGCTCTGCTTGCAACGCTCTGGTGAAAGAGACCTGGTAACTCTTGGTTGGAACAGGACCTGCGCGTAGATCCGCAGCGTTTTGTGGATCGTTCACGCGCTTCTTGCGACTTGTGTCCAGTAAGATATTTGTCAAAACTTGCAATTAGAAGCGCCGATGGGGAGAGTGGTACATCACGCCTTGCTTGGATATGTTAGACAAGCTGCGCCACGGGGCCATCCACTAAGCAAGGGTCGATTCTCGTAAAACCTCACTTCGCGGCATCGGCTGCCTTGTCCGCGCCGGGGAGGTAGTCGCGGCCAGCTTGTTCAGCTCCCGCTCAAAGATTGCACTCGCAACCGCAATGTTTGAACCCTTGCAGGCTTAGTCAAGAAATCTCTGTTGAGATCGCGCGTCTTCATAGGCCATGGAGCTGGGGGCGCGAACTCTCCCCGCGCATCTTCTTCCCCAGCTTCGCGTCGGCACGACTTCGCGTCGACGTCACTCTGAGGCGATGGTGCAACTCTCGCTGCCATGCTTGGGCCGCGAGGCCCCCAGTAGGTCGAGAAAATCTCGGCGCAGATCTGGGTCGAACCCTGAGTCTGGAGCATCGGCGGGAAGTATATTGAGAACGCCTCCTGGCACGCGAACTCGTAGCGATGCTACGCTGTCTGACACCATTTTGAAACTGATGATGCTCGCTGTGGCCGCGGCGGCCACCACGAAGCCCCCCCCGCATAGAACCGGCCCTCCGTAATTGTAGGCGTGCCAGAAAATGTGGTGAGATGTCTGCACAGAAAATATTCGAAAAATTGGCTTGACTGTTGTATCCCAGTATCCTGTATAGCAACAATTGCCATCCCCAGCAGCTTCATGTGATACATGAGTTCTGGAATATTTGCGCGGTCTTGACGGGGGCCATCCGGGTTCCAGCTTCCAAGGCGCATGTTCTGCACTGGATAGCACCATGATTTTGGCCGTCCCCAGGTCGAACCGCTCAGGGTGAAACAACTGCCTGCAGGAGGGCGTGGTCTAGAGGAGGAGGGCGATGGCGTAGCGCAAGATGCACATGTCGAGCGAGAAGAAGCATCACTTGTAAAATGTTTGCCCATTCCGGTGATTTTGCCCTTCATAATGCGTCGGCCCACTCCGGACGGAATGGATCGACCTTCTGGACGCAAGGGTGGCGCGGGTGAAACTGTCGGGGGATAGGTAGCTTCGCCCTCTCCCAAAGAAGCCGCGACGGAGTTGGAGAGAGGGGTCGATGATGTAGAAGTGGGGCCCTCGCCCGAAACGCCATCGATGCCAGCCATTGTTTGGTGCTGGACAGGGGCATCTATTAATAGACGGTCATGTTTTCCAAAATCGGCTCCGGCGCAGGATAAATAAATCCGTGGCGTAGAGTATGTAGCCAGTGCCAGCCGTGAGTCCTAGTCTGACGCTTTGCCTTTGGACGCTCCTTTGGATCCGCCTCTTTTCCCCTGAGGTGCTCGCTGAATGATTCCATTGCGTGTTGTTGTCAAGTCTGCAATACGTGGGTGGTTTTGCAGATCGCCCCAAGCCTGCCAACTATTAGCCCACACCCTCTCGAATGCCATCTTGTATACATTCACCATCGAAGCCAATTTCCCATCCACCTTGTACTGTGCATGGCGCTTCTTCTGACGCCCTGATCGTGCATAGACTCTGCAAGTCGCTTTTGAATAAACGTCTCACCCCAAAGCAATAGTTACGGGCTGCTCGGTCAGCTGGTTCTCTGTCTTGGGTTGCCCAGGTAGGTTTACTCCCACGCTGAAGGCCACCGCTGCGTAGAAGAGCGACCGCCGCATCTCGGTCGAGCACGCTGTCGAACTCGGCGAATGCTATATCTTTGCAGTCCCCTTTTGCGTACATATTTGTCGGGATTCGGCCTTGCATTGAAGATAACTGCTCTCTGATGTATGTGCATGCCGAGGCGATGGAGTCAAAATTGGTAAGGTTGCCTATGACCGCTGTGATAGCACGTTTGCCATGCTAGCGGTAAGCGTCCGCCGTGCCTTGCGAAGCCGCTGAGTATGACCTTGGGGTGCCGGCTGACACTAGCGCTAAGTGCTTTTCAATTTTCTCGATGCGTTTGTTCATCGTGTTCTCCACGTTGGCCGCGCGTATCTGTGCTTCCTCGAGCTCGTTGCCGATATCGTCGGTGTTCTCTGTCAGTGGTCGGGTGGCATCGTCAAGACCTCGGCGGGATACCCAGTGTAGTTTAACTGCCGCTACAGATTGCTTGATCGTGCCGAGCTCGCCTTTGATGAGGTTCCCGATGCCGTCGATGGTGGCAGCGATACTTCCCGCAGAGGCTATGGTTGTATTGTCCCTTCTCTCGGCGCCGGCCAGTTGATCTTGACATCGCTGCTGTCGTATACTGGTGAACTCGGAATCGTCGTGACCGTCAATCTCCTGCAACGGACTGTGAATCCGGTGCTGCTTGAACAAATCCTGGACAGGTGTACCTGGCTCACGTTTCTCGTGAGCAGAAGACGTCCGTGTGCTATAGAAGAGTAGGAGGAGGGCGTTAAAGAGACTTGGGCGTAAAAGAGACTCGAGGCTTCTTGAGGCTTGAAACGCTACTTGAGCCAAAATGGCTTGAGGCTTGAAACGCTACTTGAGCCAAGGAGGAGAGGGGGAGAAAAGGAAAGGAGGAGACGCAGGGACTGTCTCATCAAAACGCGGACCCAGCGCAACACAGGATGGTTGGGAAAACAAGTTGTGGAATTTGCTCAGGTTCGGCTTTCCGATGGCCCAAGACGGCCCAATACGCCCCAAAGATCGCTTCAAGATGGCCCAAAAGGCCTACAAGATGACCTCATGACAGCCCGAAGAGCCTCCAAGACGGCCCCGGGAGGCCCCCAAATTCGCCCGAGATGGTCCAAAGATGGCCTCCAAGACGGCCCAAGACGGCCCCTGATGCCCCAAGAGGCCTCCAGAACGGCCCACGAGGCCTCCAAAAGGTCCTCCAGCAGGGCCCGAAGAGGCCCACATAATTGATGCACCGTAGGTTCTCCAAGGATGTTGCCCTTTGCTTCGTTTCGGCCTTCAGACGGCCCAGAACGGCCAAAGAGGCCCCAGATATCGCCCCATGATGGCCCCAAACGCCTCTAAGATGACCCCAGGACGGGCCAAGAGGCCCCCAAGACGGCCCCAAGAGGGCCTGAAAACGGCCCAACAAGCTTCTAAAACGCCTAAGATGGCTTCCAAAACGGCCCTGAAGCGCCTCAAAAGGGCCCCAAATCAGTTCAGAGAGGCATCCAAAACGGCTCCCGAAAGCATCTGATGGGCGAGGGACGCCCTAAGACGGCCCAACCCCCAAGACGGCCCTGAAATGGCCCCGTAGGGGCCAGAGGAGGCTTCGAAGAGTCATCCATAAGGCCTCTCAAGGGACCATAGGAAGCCCTCCTCCTCCTCCTCCTCCTCCTCCTCCTCCTCCTCCTCCTTCTCCTCCGCCTCCTCCGCCTCCTCCGCCTCCTTCTCCTCCTCCTCCTCCTCCTCCTCCTCCTCCTCCTCCTCCATCTCCTCGCTCATCGCTCCACCCTCCACGCTCCTCCTCCTCCTCCTCCTCCTTCTCCACCTCCTCCTTTTGTTTTTCTTTCGTTCTTCTCTCTCTCTCTCTCGCACTCTCACCTCTCTCTCTCTCTTTCTCTTTCTTTCCCCACATATCTATAACCTCCTTCTCCTGCGCGTCTTCTTTCTCACCAGCGTGTTCCGCGAAGGTGTTCCACACCGGCTGGGGACACACATGATCCGATAGCTTGGCAGAGCTCTGGCCACAACCTTCGGCCATGTGGGAGATCCCAACCGGCAGGGAGCGTCTTCGAAACCGATCATGGGGAAAAAACAGAAGGCAGGATAATTGGAATCATGAGGATCGGAGGTTATTAGTTCGCCGGGAGGTTTGCTTGGTGGAGGGGAGATGGAAAGAAAATGACACGTGTGCGAAGAGTGGAAGGGATGGGAGGGGGAGGAAGGGGATGAGGAGATGAAATAAGACGGGGAGGCGGAAGGGGGATAGGAGGGAGGGGAGACAGAGGAGAGAGAGAGAGAGGAGGAGGACGAGGAGGAGGAGGAGGAGAAGTAGGAGGAGGAGGAGGAAGAGGAGGAACAGGAGGAGGAGGAACAGCAGGAGGATGAAAGAGGGAGGAGGAGGAGAAGGAGGAAAGGATGATGAGGATGAGGAGGAGGAAGAGGAGGAGGAGCGGAGGAGTATAATGTGAAGGGAGGCGGAATTCGGACGGGGCCGGGACGGCCTGAATAGGACGAGTTGTGGAAGGGGGGGAGGAGAAAGAAAAGGAAAAAGAGAAAGAAGGGTGGGAAGGCGGGGGACGATGACAGCAACGCCCCCCCTCATGCAGGTCTGCAGGAGACAGCTTGGGTCCAAGCAGCTGTCCGCGTAGGCCCCCCCCCAGCCTCTAGACAAGAACCAAGGGGCTACGCAGGCGAGGCGGGAGGCGGGGACGGGGGAGGGGGGAAGGGGGCCAAGGAGGGGAAGGGAGGAATGTGGGGGAGCAGGCCGGAGAGCGAGGCAAGGAAGGCAGGGAAAACGCAGGAAGAGGGCGTGCACCAGCGAGGCGGGGGGACACGCTCTGCGCTCGATGGGGTGGAGGGCCGCCTGACTGTCGAAGAAGTCGATCCTATCGCCGTACAGCACCACATGCCTGGGTCTGGGGGCGGCTCGCTCGTACACTGCCGCTGCTGCCTCTGCTAACAATGATTCCGCCGCTGCTGCTGCTGCTGCTGCTGCTGCTACTGCTGCTGCTGCAGCTTCAACTCGTCGTCGTGGGCTCGGGGCGGGGGGGGAGGATAGCACGTGCAAATGTAGCGATGCTTCGGCGCTGCGCATCGGTTCCCAAACCTTCCTGCGTCGTTTGGCGTCGCTTTGTGTCCTCGACGCCGCGCGTCTCCTCCCACCCCCTCTCCTCCTTCCCGGGTGAGGGTGTGGGGGTATGTCTATGTGGGGGGTGGTATGTGTATGGGCCGTGGAGCATCTACACCTTGGCGCCCCTGCTGCTTGATATCGCGTGTTTCTGCCAGTAGCTAGTGAGTGCCGCACTAAGCTGACCGTCTCCTCGGCGAATCAGGGCGCAATTCCAAATTCATCCTCCTTCCCTCCGCAGCCCCCATCCTCCCTCCAGCGTGCGGCACGGTGCTTGGGGCACCCGCGGTGTCTGGCGAGCGCGTGGGTCTGCACGGCCTGCGCGACGCGTGCGGTGGTCCGTGGGGGGCCAGCTTCAGCTGGTTGCCGCGGGGCCCTGGAAGACACACAACAGGCCTGCAGGAGTTGGCCGAGGAGTGGGCCTGGCCGCGCGAGCTTGGTCGCAGTGCGCGCGGGTTGCAGGCAGGCGGGGGCGGCGGCGCGCGCGTGAGCTTAGCACGGGGGAGGGGTTCCGCCCCCGAGTCGCGATGGCCCGGGGGCCCACGCGCGGAGGCGCATGTGACGGGCCCTTGAGCGCCTTGGGCCCTTGAGCGTGACAGGGCCTGCCACGCTAAGGCCCTTGAGCGTCTTGGGCACGACGGTAGTACCCTCGTCCTCGAAGCGGCTGGCCCAGTCTTGGGCGGATCCCCGCTGGTCCTTGCGCTTGGCCTTGGTCTTGCTCTTGTCCGTCTGGGTCTTGCCACGGCCTGCTCCTCCAGACCTCCGTGGCCCGGCCCCCTAAGCCCAGCAACCCGTGAAAGGTACGGGGGGTGCACTGGATAAGGAACCTTTAGATACTTCAGATATGGAGTCCAGGGTCTGGAGGCCGGTGGAGCTCCAATCGAGGCTTGGCCATGGATATCACCGCCGCCCTCCTCAGATACGGGACCCTCCAGGGTCTGGGCACATTCCTGAGCCAACGTCCCCACCGTAGTTGGGGAGGCCGCCGCACCTGCCCGTGCTTTTCGACTTGCAAATTCGGGCGCATCGCGCCGCCGCGGGCGCCCGGACCAGCAGCGCCTAGTGCGGCACCCTGGGGAGCTGCGCGGGGTCTGCCCTAGTCTAGTCCGGCACCTCGGGGAGCTGCGCCAGGCGCCACCAGCAGCGCCCAGCCTGGCACCAGCAGCGCGTAGTCCTGCCTGTGCACCTCCACTGCGCCTCCCTCGGAGACGTCTTCCCGAGCGCCCTGTTCCATGCCATGGGCTGCTCGGCCTCGTAGTGTGGTGGTCGGCTCGCGAGCACGGGCCGCTCCGAGGTGCGCGCTTGAGCACGCTCCAGTCGGCACCTGAGCCAGGACGGCTCGAGCCAAAATGGCTACGGAGGAGGAGGAGGAGGAGGACACGCAGGAAAACTGGACGAGGGATGCGGAGGGGGCAGGAGGATGAGGGCGGGTGGGAGGAACGGGGAGGATGCTGATGGCGAGGAGCATACCGATGAACATGAGGATCTGGATGCGGGGACAGGAATTCAGGAGGGCGGACGGATGCGAGGAGGCACGAATCAGCGCAGGGCGTCACGCGAGGTGGATGCGAGAGAAGAGTAGGGAGGGAGAGGCTGGAGAGGGACGAGTGGGATACGATGGAAAAACGGGGTGAGAGGATGAGATGGAAGAGCGGCAAACTATACACAGAGACAGAGAGCGATAGAAAGGGAGATAGAGGCGAGGAGCGAGAACGAGACGATGCATGAGGAAGGTAGAGGGGGGTGATGATGAGGAAGAGGCAGGAGGCAGAACAAGAGGAGGGGGAGCCCCGCATCCTCTACTCGATCGGAACTTAGCCCTGTGGGGCTAAGAGGAGGACGATGAAGAACTGACCTACCGTTTTCTCCTGATCCTCATGGTCCTCTCCCTCCTGGGCCATCCCTTCGACATCAGAAATTTTCTCAAATGCGTTGGATCCAAAAGCTCTTGACAACATCCTGGATGTTGTTTTCGTCACGGGTCGTGTATTGACTGCCCTGGTGCCCGTACAACAACGGAATATGGAAGGCGGCCACGATTACGGAGCCAATACGTAAAACAATAAACATACATACCCCTCCTTTCCCGTAGAGAAGAGAAGGGAGGGAGGATGATGACGAGGAGAAAGAGGAGGAGGAGGAGGAGGAGGAGGAGGAGGAGGAAGAGAAAGAGGAGGAAATGCTGGAGGACGACAACGACGAGGACGACGACGACGACGGCCTCTGAAAGTCTCACGCAGCCCCGCCGAGCCCCCAAGGGAACCCCGGCGCAGATGGGGCGACCCAACCCGCACGACCCAACAGAATCTTTTAGGCACCCTGAAGCCCGTCCCCCAGTTCGTGGGGTCCGCGCTTCCTACGTTCCAGGACCCGCGCTCCTTCCAGCCGAGGGCCAGGCCAGGCACGCGGAGACGCGACCGCAACGCGCGGACGATCGCGACCCCGACGCCAACGACGGCGGGCCGGCAGCCTGGGCTCCACCTGCCCCGGCCCGACGGCGAGCAGGAGCTGGCCCTCGTGGACGCACCTGGCTCAGCGCCGGGCGAGCCGAATGGGGAGGAGGGAGGGAGGGGCAGGGGGCGGGGGGGGGGAGAGGAGGAGGGAGGAGGGAGGAGGGAGGAGGGAGGAGGGAGGAGGAGGAGGAAGAGGAGGAGGAGGAGGAGGAGGAGGAGGAGGAGGAGGAGGAGGAGGAGTGGGGACCAGTGCAAACATAAAACGCAGGAGCGATGTTGCAATAGACCCATCTGCCAACTTTTCTAAATCGGGCCCTACAAGAGTTTGTTCTCAATGATGGAAACGCCCCATCGTAAAACAAACGTCTGGGAATTCTCCGTCGTGCCAAAACATCATTCATCGGACTTCAGCGCCGCGGGTCAACGTGACGGTTACGCCCCGACCCTCCCAAAGCGTGCCAGGACAGCAGTCCTGGGACTTCAGCACCGCGTGTCAACATGACTGTTGAATTTCGACAATCCTACACTTTGCCAGGGCAGCATTCCTGGGCTTTCGACTATGCGAGCCCTTGACAAGGTTGCACACTTTCAGCACAAGTGCACGCGGAACGAATGCGAAAACGACATTTCGAAACTCAGCATTTATCCGTGACGCTGGTGCGAACTTAAAAAAACGAACGTCCCTTACGCGAGAGCCACATGTTGAAAACGACCCGCCGTCCATCCGTGAACCTGCTACACACTTTTTATGTAAATGTGCGCGGCGCTCAAGCGAGAACCACATTTTGAAAACGGCGAAGCTGTTGCACAATGTCAAAACGATTGTGCGCGACGCTAAGGCGAGAACTACATCTTGCAAACGGTCCGCACAACATCTGTGAACCTGTTGCAAGGTTCAAGCTTGAACTCATGAGCGGCGTGGAAATCTCAAGCGAAACGCTCAGCCCGCCCTGCCAATACGTCTGTGGGTGCGGCAGGAAGGGGCTATTTATCAGGAAGAGAGGTGGAGGAGAAGGAGGGGGAGGAGGGAGGGGGGAGGAGGAGCGGGGAGAGGGGAAGGAGGGGTGAGAGCGACAGCTAGCAGCCGCAGCAGCAGCAGCAGCAGAAACGTCCACAGCTCGAAGCTCGGAGGAGGAGGAGGGATCGAGGATGGGGGGGAGAACGAGGGGGATGCGAGAGAGAGAGAGAGAGAGACGCCCGTCGCCCAGCCCCAAGAGCCCGTCCCTGGGGGGCGCTATAAAAGCGCCTCGGCGGGCCTGAAGGAGGCACCATCGCAGCGACGTAGAGGATGATGGCAGCGCCACTGCGACGCAGAGGACGAGGAGGAGGAGGAGGAGGAGGCGATCGCGCCCCCACGCGCTCCGGCCGTGGGGCCACCGCCATCGACGATCTCCTCTCGCCAAGGGCCGGGGCGAGAATCTTCTCACACCTGGCGCCTCGGCCCCGATCCCGGGCCTGGGGGGCATCACGTATCAGCCCGGCTGAAACATGCGCACGGAGATGGGTTCAGGGCCTACATAGGGCTCTGGTCCTGATGTTCTGTGATCACTCGTGCATTGGCTCGCAGCGTCAGACCTCCAGGATGGGGATGGGTGGTAAGGCTCTGGGCTGCGCGCAGACAGCCCCCCCCCCCAGGTAGTCCCGGCTGGAGCAGTCCCAGCTAGCCTCAGCTGCACGGTTCCCCCCCCGGCCGTAGGCGACCGGAGGAGGAGGAGGAGGAGGAGGACGGGGAGGATGAGGTGGAGTGGGAGAAGAGGAGGAGGAGGAGGAGGAGGAGGAGGAGGAGGAGGAGGAGGAGGAGGAGGAAGATGAGGAGGAGGAGGAGGAGGAGGAGGAAGATGAGGAGGAGGAGGGAGGAGAAGGAGGAGGAGGAGGAGGAGGAGGAGGAGGAGGAGTTTTTTTTTGGCAGCGCCTCGGGATGAATGCCCACCAGGGCACAAGGCGCTAGCTCCCGCGAACAAGCGCCTCTGCTGTACGGGACTGCCGCCACAGGCTGCCTCCTTTGAGGTCCGCATCAGCAGTCAGTCGGAGCCCTCGGGTGCGGCTGGGGAGCGGAAAGCTGGCAGCCGCAGCGCGAGCCTCTACGAGGCGGAGCGCTTCCGAGACACACGACAAAACGCAGCAACGCGGGAACCCCTCCAGAGGGCCACGGCTGCTCGCAACATAAAACGTATTGTAAGTGTAAGATCCACGCGAAAAGAGGGGCAGGCCCAGGCAGCCTGGCCCCTGCGACGCCACGACCCGAGCCACGGTCGGGACCGTCCAATGACAGCCCCCGTGCTCGGCTAGGAAATCACCACAGACGAGCGTGCCATGCGCCTTCCCCCCGAGCGGGGCGCCGGACACGCGTGCCGAACGTCCACGAGTGCGCACACACAGCGGACGCGCACGAACACGAGCTAAGCTGTAAAGAAAAAGCCGACCGCCCACACAAGGACGACGAGACCCGCCATCCCTGGTGCAGCGAGCGCCAGGACGACCGCAAGCCTCGCCCCAGATGTGGGGTATGTACGAATAAAACACAAGAAACTCTGAAGACGACCGCCCACACAAGGACGACACGGCCCTACGCCCCTGGTGCAGAGAGCGCCAGGACGACGTCTGGCCACGCCCCAGATGTGGGGTGAAGCACGGATGCCTGCCAAAATGGCCAGTCGCATCGGGCCGTGCAGAAGAAGACACAAGTTAGAAAAACATATACGTGCCTGCCGATTGGCCACCCACGTCAGTCCGAGCTATCAGACTCCTCCCCGCGGTGCGGCAGAACGCTCACCATCTCTCCCACAGGCGAGGTGTGTGAGGTGGCGAACGCCCTGCGGACCCTCGACGCCTGTGCATCCTTCACCGCGTCTGAGGGTCCTCTGTAACTCGAAAAGATCTTTTTTGCCTATCCTGGCCAGGTTCTGGACGCCCTTAGTGTGGCAGGCACGCATTGTGAAAATAAACTCCTCGGGGCGACCGTAGCCGTGCGGCCGCACGTCGCACAAAAAAAAGTGAGTGCCGCGGCCAGAAGCGGAAGGCATGAGACTTGTGAAGCTGCTTCCCGCCCAGCATCACCCCCCCTCCCACCGACCGAAACTCATAGATAGCCAGCGTGGGCTGGGCCCCACTGGCCGATTTCCCCCCCCTGGATGGGCATACGGCCTGCTCTCCTCGGGCTTCGGGGGGCATATCCCCAACCGAGGTGGTAAGACGGTGGGGCTCGAGATGTGGATGGGGATGGGGATGGGGATCGGATGTACGATACTGATGACCTGGGAGGCAGGGAGGAGATGCCCGGGCATCCCCGTCGCCTCAAAGACCGGCTACAGGCAGCGGCGGCCCTAGGCATGCAGGAGTGACCTTTGTGGTGCGCGGCCGGCTGTGCGGGGGCCCAGGGAAAGGGGGGGGTATCGAGGGACCCCATCTAAACGCTCAGGCCAGTGCTGGGTGGACCCCTGTGCGCCCGCACCCGAGGCCCCTGCGGCGGATGATCACTCTTACGCGCTGGCCTCCAGGAGCTGTCCACGCAGGAGACACGTCGAAGCACCAGCCGTCCGGGGGGGAGGCGGGAGGATCCTGGATCCGAAGTGGCTTTTCGTACTCATTCAAGTCTCGTGTCAGCGATGCACCTCTGCGGGATAATAGGAAGTGACTCTCAACGTGCGTATGTTGCCACCCCTTGCGCCGTCAAGCTAAACCATCTACGCGCGCGCGCAAATTCGAAGCACGTCTTGGCCATCGAGCACGAATGGTTGCAGCTGCGACACTGCTCGCAACATCCTGCTGCGGCGCTGACGTGTGGCTCCGGCGTGCCGTGCCAGGATGCTCGCCCCGAGCACGTGCGAGAGCGATACCCAGACGCTCCGCAAGTCCGCGCCTCTCTCCACCGTCAAAGGGCCAAACCCCTCTCTGGCTCACGTTCTCGCACATGTTGGACTACTCTGGAAGGCTACAAAGGAAATGGCCACTTACGGATTCGAGCCCGCTGCCTCTACAACACGCTCCGCCGCGAGAAGCTGATGCTCCCCCAAAGCACACTTTGCCCCATTATGCTATAAGAACTGCCTCACCGCAGAGACCTGCCTCAGCGCTGACTCGGAATAGGCTGCCCGCTGAATTCAGGGCGACCCTTGAACATGTGTTTCACACCACCTTGGAGCTGCTGGGTCTGAGCTTTAGCCGCATGCTCGAATGACCCTCGAAAGGAATCATTGGCACTGGAGATGCTGGCTCAAGAGCGTCACGTGATGCCGCAGAAGATGAGTATGAGGAAGAATTGGGGAAGACAAAGGGGAGATGTGGGAAGAAGTAATCTCCCCTGCTACTCAAAGTCTTGAGGCGCCAATTGTTGTTCTCGGCTCGCATCCATTCGCGAGTACTGAACTGCTTTTCGACCGTCCTTCAATCGATCGCAGCGCTCTTCGAGGCCCTGCCCACCGCATGCGTCGACCCCTGCAGCAACAAGATGCGTTCGACGACATCCATGTCCACACATATCGTACATCAGATGATCCTGCTCTCGAGGGACCCGGTGGGCAAGCCACAGCAGAGGCCGGCGCCGAGCCAGCGGCAACACCGAACGCGGGGCGCAGGCAAAATGGCGGCGAGGGAGCCCGCACCACCCCTCCGGACACCCCCCCCCCGCCACACCGAGCCCCCCCCCCCGCCGCACGAAGAAAAGAAGATTACACTAGAGAAAAGCCCCCAATCCGCGGATGGCTCTCGCTAAAGAGATCGACCGGGAACCCGGGAGCCCGGGAACCCAGAACCCCAGAGTTCGGTCGATCCCTGCGCTACGGAAAAAACGTGGAAAAGGATTCAGAGAAGGCACTTGCTTCATATTGAACGGTTGTTTGCGGTCCAAAACATGAACACATTCCTTCGCTTCGATCCCCTCTCGCTCCATATTCGAGAGCCCACCGAAATCGGCATGGAACCAATGACCGGGAACCCAGGAGCCCGGAACTGGGAGCCTGGGAACCCAGCCTGCTAGCAAAAATTCAGCGGGAACTTCGCCAGATCTTTCTCAACTTCCGCTATCGGACCCCTTCAGTGCAAGCACTGATTGGGGAATGTCGGAGGCGCACGACAA